TCTCTCTCTCTCTCTCTCTCTCTCTCTCTCTCTCTCTCTCTCTCTCTCTGTCCCTCTTGCCTCCCAGCCTGTTTCCCTGTCACTGATCTGGACCAGACAGCCGGGGTGAGCCAGGGCAAGCCAAGCGCTTCCACAAGCAGTGTGGTCTGGACACGGGACCTGTTGTGTGTGTCAGCATCTGTGTTTCGTCATGCTGCTTATTTCACGTGAAATAAGAAGTTGTTTCTTCTGATTGGCTGCTGTGCCATTAACTCCGATTCTTGGGTTGGTGCCTCTCTCTCATCCTCCCCCTTTTTTCTCCTTCCCTCCCTCTTCCCTGCGCCCTGCGGTGCCTGTGGCTGCCCCAGGGAGTGAAGGGCCCACCCGGCGAAAAGGTGAGTCCCCACTTCCCCACCCCTTTCACCCAGCCACTCTTTGGCAGGCAGGCTGGGCTGGGAGACAAGTGCCCTAAACCCCCCACCACTGCCCTCCCCCCACCCAGGCCCAGCAACGCATGTGACGGTTCTGCCCCGAAGCCTCTGGCGGTCCAGACTAACAGCTTCCCCACAGGAAGCAGGATGACAGGGCTCCTGTCTGTGCACCTCACTGTCCTGGCTGGGCGGGTCTCCCCTACCCTGGCTGGACTGCATGAGCCTCGTGCTCTAGTGCCTGGTTGGGGCAGGGGAGCCCAGGAGGCCCCCCTGAATTTCAGAGCACAACACACCTAACCCACTCATTTGGCAGAGGAGGAAACTGAGGCCCAGAGAAACAGGCCTTGCCTGAGGTCCCATGGCAGTGGCAGTGAGCGAGGGCTGGAAGACATTTCTGTGCCTTGCTCGTGACTCCTTTGTCTGCACGTGGCTGTCTGTCTACATAAGTACTTCCTGTCTCCAAGATAACCACGATGACATCAGTAATAACTACCTAGCGAGCCTGAGTTCTGCCAGGCTCAGTTCTAAGTAGTTTTGTCTCAGTGTTGTTACCTCAGCTGATACTGACACAGCCCTTCCAGGCATGACACATAGAGAAGGCTGTCACATCCGCAGGGTGCACAGCTAGAAAGTGTCAGAGCCAGAGAAGGGCCTGATCTGCTGACTCTGAGGCTGAGGCCCCTGACCACCATGCTATGCTGCCCTCCAAATGGAACGAGGCTCTCTCCGGTCCCACCCTGGCAGTGAGGCCAGCCACTGTCCTGAGCACTTTAGAGCATTATCTTGTGACCAGAACACAATCATTATCACATTTACCAGATGAGACAGTTATTTCCATCCCTGCTAGATCAGGAAACAGGAATAGGCAAGTTAAGCAACTTGCAGGAGGTCACATAGCTGATAGGGAGCAGAGCCGGCATTCCACCGTCACTCTCACCACCACGTCACACTGCCTTGTGTAAAAATTATATTGTAATCACAGTGGCACAAGCAGTTCCTAATTTGAAATCCAACCTGTGTACAAGGTATAACGTATAAATTGTGCATCCATCCCTCTCCACAAGAGCTGCCCCAGTGTCCCAGATCATGGTGTCCTGTGTGGGCTGGAGCTGTTTTAACCCCTGGCCACTCTGTTGAGAAGAGTAGGCAAGAGGACACAGTTTGGGCTTCCCCAGGAGCCAGGGTGCCCTCTCTTGCCCCATCCATACCCGCACACCCTTCCGTCTCTGCTGCCAGACACACATGTACATGCACACATATATTCACACATGTGCACATGGAGCTCCTAGCCCGGCAGCACCAGCCACCTCTGTGACTGAACACTATGGCCAGCCTTATGCCTCTTCCGTGGCCTGCACAAACCAGGACAAGGGCTTTGACCACAGCTCAGCCTTGCAGCCTCAGGCCCTAGGACACTGTAGTCATTGTGTCTCTTGTCCCTTCTGTTTCTCTGAACCCCAGCTCAGGACAGATCGCCATTCACCAGCCTCAGCGTATGCAGCTGGATGGGCGTTGGGGTTGGGGGTGGGAAGGCGGCTGCTGCAGAGCTCCCACCTCAGGCCCCTTCCGCCTCTCACTAGCGTAGCTCCTGCTGTCTTCTCCTCCCGGTGCATCAGCCCATTCCCTGCTCAGTGTATGTCTCGTGCGCCACATCTCCTCTTTCTGTGTCTGTTGTTCCCCACCACCCTCCACAACCTTTCCTGAACACTTCACACATCACCCCCATTCCTTCACTGTCCTCCATATCCCTAGCCTCCCTCTAATCCACACAGTGGCCACCCCGTCCCTACCCTACCTGTCAGCACCTCCTCTTGTCTCCTGTCCCCACGCCCTCTCCTCACTCCTCTCCCCACAGGGCGCCCCTGGAGACGCTGGGATGTCCATCGTTGGTCCCCGAGGACCCCCTGTAAGTTGTTAGTCTTTTGTGGAAAGGGGAGTTCATGAAAAAGGCTTTAGGGCATGGGAGGAGGAGGGGTCCTAGCTGTGGCTCTAGGTGTGGCAGCTGTAAGGAAAGTGACCCAAAACCACAGCGTAGGAGAGGCTCTGGCCAGCCCGCAGCCTCAGCGCTCCAGCAGCTGGGAGGATGCTGTTTTTAGCTGGAGTTCGTGCTTGCTCCCCCGGGGGGAGTACTCAGCCCTCTGAGAAACCAGCTTTGTTTCTGGAAGCTGGGGCACAGATGTGGGGAATCCAGGCCCTCCTGCCGCCATCCATCCACTGCTGGGCTTAGTGGACCTGACTCAAGGCTCCTTTCCTGTCAACACTGTGTCCTCTGTATTCGCTGGGAAAGTCCAGAGGCTTCCGCCATCATGCTGCCTTAGAGACCAGAAGGGAATATGGGGGACCAAGCCACAAGGTAGCGCTGGGAAAGGAGGGCGAGGGTTTCCCCAGGGTGCCCACCCATGGGGTGACAGTAAAATCACATGTTGGAGGAAGAGAGACCCCAGCCACAGCCCAGCACAACCGTCTCAGGAAAGGAGCTAAGGCCCAGAGAGGGAAAGGGGCTGCGAGCCCTGGGAGGAGGGACTGTATCTGACTCCACAAATGAGAAGGCCGAGGCACCAAGAGGTTGGTGACTTGCCCAGAGTCCTAGCTGGTGCTTGGCCACACTGGGAGTGATCACTGTGCCTAGGCTGTACAGGGATGAATCCTCTACTGTAATGGCCTGGCCAGGCTACCGTGTCACTGTCACACATGCTCCTCTCTCACATGCTGCTGCCCTGAAAGGCTTTGCCTCCTTATGTCCTGGAGGATGCCTGAGCACAGAAGTTACTAAAGAAGAGGGTGATATAAAGGTCTAAGAGAAAAAGAGTCCCTAGATTGTGACAGCAAGTGTGAGCCTGGTACAGGCCTGTTCCAAGGAACGTGGGCCCCTTCAGCTGCCATGGCTACTGGTTTCCTGATCTGACCAAGGATGTCCTGTGCGTGGTTCACCCTGATGCTCTGACACCCATCCAGCAGGTACTGTCCTTGACCCTTTTGTTCATACAGGATCTTTCCCGTCAGAAGACAGTCATCCTGTGAGCTCCTAGGTTGGTCCTAGGGAAGCTGGCATGGCCCAGGAGTCCTGACCAAGCCCAAGGCCCTTTGATGTAGGCCTATATGAGTGACCTCACCCAATGGCTCAGCCACCCCAGCCAGGTCCACGACAGCTCTGGGCACTACCTCAGCCCCTGCTGCAGCCCTAGGCAGTGAGGGCAGGGCCCAGGGAAGACAAAGTCTGCTTGTCATTAGGAGAGGTCAAGTGGACAGGTCCTCAGGGGCCAGGGACAATGGGGACATGTGGCTTTCCACTCAGCCAAGAAAAGCCCAGAATAAGTGCTCTAATGAAAACCAGCCTTGGCGCCCTCCGGGGCCACCTGTGTGCTCTCGTGGAGCTCAGTAAATGGTCCAAGCAAAAGGGGGCAAGCCAGGCACCTTGAGGACAGTTCACATTCCAGGGTCCAGTGCAGTTGAGTAGGTTGACTCTTGGGGAGCCCCATCAAACAGAAGGGGAGCTTGGAACCCCAACACACTGGTTGGCCCAACATGCATGGCACCCCTGTTCAAAGCAGCCTGTTCCCTTTCTGAGCTCCCAGCTCCTCAGGCCTAGAGGAGCAATCCAACTTCTAGTTGTTACCCACAACGAACCACTCCATGCCAGGTAGCCCCATCTGCTTATGGCTAGGAACCCAGGATGTGCTAGATGCTAGGGAGACAGTGGAAACCCAAACTAAGGCCCATGATTACATCCAGAATCCTGAGGGGCGCTAAGGTGGGAAGGTCAGGAAGCTGGGGGCTGGAGATAGGGCAGGCGGAGACAGCGTCTAGGAGGAAGGATAACTAAACCCTGCTTAAAGACTTGCAGTGGTGACCCAGGCCAGAGAGAAGTGTAGAGCTCCTGAACCCAGGGAGCCCCCAGAAACTGGCAAAGCTCCTTGCCCTGGATGAAGTGTGTCTAGAGGAACTACAGGTTAGCCCTTCTGGATGGCTCCCAGAATCCCCAAGGCCTGGGAGGAGGAGTGAATTAGAGCAGCCGGAAGGTGGACACAGTGGGTTTCATGATGATAAATGCAAGGCTGGGAAGAGAAGCAGGAGCTCTGCACATCCACGCATCTGACTCTCAAGGCACAGCAGTGCCAGGCCCTAGAAGTGGAGCTTGCTGGGCAAGAGGGTTTCCTTACATCAGGATGGACGTGAGGTGCCTCAGGATGCCTGCAGGAAGCACCGTATTTGCTGCTGGGTCCTGGGATGCAACGTGTGCTGGCTCACCCCTGTGTGCCTTGTGAGCTTCCTTCCCACAGTGACAGGCGACCTCATGGATCGTAGCCTGTGAAATCAGCCACAGCACAAGCAGAGCTGGAAACACTTCCCAGCCAGCACTCACAAGTTGTGCTGTTCAGGCTGGACCATGAGGCGGGTCCCAGGCCCAGGCATAACAAGGCCTCTGGGGCACACCAAGGAAGAGGGGAAGGACGCGCTTCGGCGTGCACGTACTGAAGACAGAAAGACTCCCAGCCAGGACTGTCTTGCTTTGCCCCACACAAGATGCAGGTAGGAGAAATATGGGGAGAAGTAGCGCAGGCTTCCACTATCAGGAAGTGAAGCCCCTGGGCTACCTTCCCACTCTGGCCTTGATTAAGGAAGACAGTTTCAGAGATCAATGTAAAGCTTATTTCCCTTGTTTCTGTGAGGACAATGATAATTGATAATCTATTACCTACATATTTATTGTGCTCCTAATCCCAGCGAATTTTTCATGGGAATGAATGTCCTATAAAATACTGAATTTTAGGGGTTCAATACCCCGCACCCCGCACCTGGCCCCCCAGTGCACTAAGCCGGCCACCCAGACCGGGCGTGGTGGCACACAGCTGTGACCCCAGTGCTACGGAGGCTATGACAGGACAATCACTGCAAGTCCAGGCTGCGCAGTGAGACCCTGTACCAAATACATAAAATATATAATGAATTTTATTCAGAAAAAAATTAGCTCTTGAGAATGTTGGGAAAATTGTGAAAATATATTAAAGGGGTAGGAAAGAGAAGGCTAGTTGTTCGATTAGATAGCAAAATGCAGATAAATGCAGAGCAATCAAAACAAGCAAATGGAGAGAACAGAACGGTGAGTCCAGAAATAAAGCCAAATGCTATGGGAACTGGACAAGCAATGGCAACTTCACTTCACGGTAGGAAGAAAAAGATACATTGTTCAGATGTCCGGGCAATTGGCAGGCCATTTATTTATTTACTTCTATTTTAGGGAAGGGTCCACCGGGTGTTCAGGGCCTCAATACTAAATCGGACTCAGCAATCCGCCTGTTTACAGCCTCCCAAGTGCTGGGATTACAGGCATGCGCTGCCACACCCGATCTCAATTGGGTGGCCCAGGGATTGAACCCCCAGCCCCTGTGTCTGCTTGCAGGTTCTTTAACCTGCTGAGAAATTTGGCTGGCCCTTGGCAGGCCTCTTAGAAAAAGGAAACCTGAAAGAAAGCTGCTTGTCTCTTTTTAAAAAATAGCTGAGTCTCTACCTCACTCATTATTAGGAATTAGGCTAAATTCCCAATGAATAAAATGCTTAGTTGTAAAATATGAAAGCAAAAAATATAAACAGAAGACATGAGCAAATGTTTTATAATTCTGAGCTGGGGAAGGCCCTTCTAAAACATGCCATAAAACCTCTCCCCAAGCCATAGGAAAACATCACTAAGTTTACCTACATAAATATAAGACTTCTGAATGATAGAAAATATAAACAAAGTCAAAGACAATACCCAAGTCAGAAAATACTCCCAATGCATATGACTACCAAAGAGTTATTGCTCTTGAAAAAGAACTTTACTCAAAGCAATAAGAAAATGAAATGATAACCAGATAGAAAACATTAGAAAAAGCTAAGTGCGGCAGCGTGCACCTGCAGGGCCAGTACTCAGAAAGCAGGGTAGGGAGTTTGTTCAAGACCAGAAGTTCAAGGCCAGCCTGGGCAAAATAATGAAACCCTATATCAGACTGGATGGATGGATAGATGATAGATCGATGGTAGATAGGTGGATCAATCGATTGACAGATAGATGGATAGATAGATAGGGCAATGCAAGCATAGGACTGGCCAATAAATATAGGAAGGCATCTCAATTCAGCATGTAACTGCAGAGATGTGGATGAAAGTCCAGTTCCAAGTCTCCCCAAGTGCTTTCTCGTGTCCCACCTCTGCAGGAAGTAGTCTCACTTTCCATTTGGTCAATGACAGCATTCTTCCCAAGATTCCTGAAAAAGCCCTGGTTAGCCCTGCACTTGGCCCTGGGCTGGAGAGACACATCCCACTACCAGAGCTGACTCTGTAATTAGCAAACCGTGTGATTACCCCTACCACATAAGCACTAGCTAGAGCAGGCCTTCGAGATGTTTCTTGGCACCCTCTCCTGACCTTTGCCTCAGTCCTCTGCTTATTCAGAGTTTACAGAATGCTTGCCCTGGGGGGTTTCAAGATTGCATTGCAGGGTTTCCGGGGTTTCTCCTGAGGGCTATTCTTAGCAGCACTTATCCTCAGGAGGAAAGGGGGGGCCTTCCGACACGTAAGTGCCATCTCCTCCCTCTGGTCCTTTGGATGCCTGCCACATGCCCAGCCCAGGTGGCAGCCCTCAGCCAGCTCCCTGCTGGACCAGGACTGTGGCCCTGACATGGCAGGGTCCCTGTCCCACTCAGGCCAAGAGGCCCATGTGTTCCCTGAGCAGAGGTCTCGGAATATTCGTGTCCACAGCTTTGAGGAGGAGCCAGGAAGCCTGGAGATGTTTCAGAGTCGCAGCAGATGGATCCAGATGCAGTCTGATTCTGCAAGTATTGCTTGGCTAGGATAAACCTCCATGAATCCCAAGACATACAGAGCTCAAAAGCAACCACACTTCATCCTGATGCCTCTGTGTTCAATTTACTCAATAAACAGCCTGTGACAGTGGCTACCATTGTAACAGATCTGACGAACCTGAACCTATATGGTTATACTATTAGTCCCAGTCTACAGATGGGAGAACTGAGGCTCCTGGAGGTCACATAACATTCTTAGTGTCAACTGCTGTTGGTAGAGGATGGATTAGGACTCCCTCTGCCAGATGCCCTTTCCTAGGGGAGGACTATGGCCATCTCAGTGACCCAGGCTGAGCGCTGGCTTTGTGTCTATAGGGAAAGGCAGGCGAGTATGTGCCTAAGCCTAGGGCAGGAGGAGGCAGGAAGGGCAGCTCACAAGGCTCACTAGGGTGAGATGGGATGAGACAAAATGACAGGAGAGGAGAAAGGAGGCCTTGCAGTTGGCGTTTCTTAGCTGCCCGTAACCGTCACCCTCAGGCAGCCTCATACTACTTCTAACTTGAGCACCTCTCTCTGGTCCTGAATCTTGCCCATAAAGCACTGAGCTCCAGCCAGCGAACTTGTTTCTAGCCTGAAAATCTGTCTGCGTTGCACTTTGCACCTCCAGGGAAATGGGCTCAGATGGGTCTCTTCCCATGAGGCCTAAGGGACCCAGAAAACCAACAGCTAAAGGGAGGAGATGCTGGCCTGGGAGAAAGGAGCGTGAGCCGCTTGTCCTATTCTAGCCTGAAGAATGCATTATGAAGGTCAAGCTGTGCTCTGCTGATATCAAAACCCCCCTTGGATAAGTGGCCACAAGCAGTGCCTGTAAATAAAGATGCGGAGCTCTCAGTCCAGGGGTTCAGGGCGCTGCGGGCAGAGTCCCTGCTGGCCTGCCGTCTCCGGGACTATTTACATGCTGAGGCCCAGAACACCTACCGCAGTGACGAGCTGCTTCCTGGAAACTGGAAGCCCACAGATGCTGGCCAGCCACCACACGCACTCACACACGCTAAGTGCGCCCCATGGAGGTCATAGGGCAGCAAGGGACCGGCAGCGAGATGAGCCAGGGAGAGGGCAGGCTCCATTCCTCCTAGCTCATCCTCACTGTTCTGCTCCTTTCAGGGTCAGCCGGGTACTCGGGGCTTTCCTGGATTTCCGGTAAGTGGGGAGGGTTGAAGTTAGCTGTGTCCTGGTGGGCTCTGGGCCTGACCGGGTTAGGCTCCATCCACCAAGAGCAGTCCTGGGGCCACTCTTTTCCTTCCCTTTCCAAACCAGTCTGTCTTTCCTTTCTTTCTTTCTTTCTTTCTTTCTTTCTTTCTTTCTTTCTTTCTTTTCTTTTTTGGAGGGGTGGTACTTTGGATTAACCCAGGACCTTCACACTGAGCCATATCCCTCATGATATATATATATATATATATATATATATATATAATGTTGACATAGAGTCACTAACTTACTCAGACTGGTTCACACCTGTGACCCTCCTGGCCTAGCCAGGGATTGCAGACATGTGCCTTGCTCCTGGCTCCTACTCTGGTCATTAAGAGCCTACTCTACAGCCTCCTCCAGGACAGTAGCTCAGCTCTAGGCTCCATGTGCAGGAAGGGACAGGGAAAGGGTACAACAGACAAGGGGGCAACAGGACAGGCTGATGAACCCAGCAGGACGCTGGAATATGGACGCGGAATTCCTCAGGAAGGCAACAGGACATCATCAGGCTTCTAGAGAAGGTTCATCGGGGAGGGGGCAGGGGCCCTGAGTATCCTTTTACCCCGTCCATGGTGAGGAGCAGCCATTGTCCTTTCCTAGGCCTTGCTGCTGAACAAGCCCAGTTTCCTAGGAACATGCGCTACACTCTCCTCATGGGTCAAGAAGGGAGGAGGAGGAGGAGGAAGTCTTTGACACCAAGGACAGTGGCATCTAGTGGACTCTGCCCTGTGCCAGACACCCGGCTGCTGGTATTTGCTACACCTCTCTAGGACCCATCAGGGAAGGCTCTGCGATTTTTCACCCTGCTGTAGGATGGGCAAGGAAGGCTTAGGTTTGCCTTGGTCTTACAGCAAGTGAGTGGGCAGGCAGAAACTGAACCCCTACCTAGATGGCACCAGATCCTGAACTCTCCCCCTGCCCCAGGCCCAGACAGGAGACCTGTAATGCTGGGTCTTTACATCTGGCCTTTCTGTTTGCAGGGTCCCATCGGGCTGGATGGCAAACCGGTGAGTGGGCCCCCGGGCTGGAACTCCTCTCCTCCTAACACTGCCCCCCCACCCATCCTCCTATGAGACCCCAAGTCATGGGAAGATGTCTTTGCTAGAAAGTTCTTGGCTAGAAAGAGGTCACTAGAAGGAACAAGGGGATGGGGATGAATGAGTCCCCCTTGACACAGTGACTTCCCAAAGCCCAAGTCACCAGCAGCCCATCCAGCTGCTCAGCATCTGCACAAGAGCCATTCTTAGATCTGGTGATCTTGGAAGCTTCTGAAAGGGTCTGGGTTGGGAGATCGCTGGAGCACACAGAAGCAGGAAGATCCTGCAGAAACCTGATCTTACAGAGCCCAGCCAGCTGTCATACACCGTCTTCAGCCCCCACACACCAAGGTGCTCCTGTGTCCCCTGCCCACCTTGTGGCAATTGAAGGGCTACCCTTTCTCCTGTGCTTTCCATGACTGTGAGCTGGTGCCAGGAAAGCCCCCGCTCACACAGCAAGGCCATGTGCAATCACTCTTCCCTCCCTCATTCCTCCCAAGTACATTTGGAGCCTTGAGCCATGGCCCCTGACAACGATGTTCCTCGAGGGAAGCAGCCCCTACCTTCTAGGAAGGGGTGAGGTATAGGAGGGTTGGCCAGCAACACCCTCTGGGTCCCCACAAAGGCATGGGGCAGGGGGTGCATTGTAGGTCCAACCATTCAACCCACTCCAGGGCAGCCAATGTCCTCTTGGGTGGGGATCTGGCCACCTGCCCTCCAGGGGTCCACTGAGGCATGTCCATTGCCACCCTGGTGTAGATACATGGTAAGGCTGGGCCCCAGAGAGACACTCCCACATATTCCTCTGAAGGGCAGACAACAGTCATAAGGACTGGAGGGTGGGGAGCATATGGCCTGGCCTCGGCCAGCTGAGTTAAGGGTTGGGGGACAAGCAAGATGGAGTGACAGTGCAAGAAAGGAAATGCATGGGCAGTGCAGTGACCAGAAGAGCAGGTGGCAGGCAGGGTGGGCATCTGTGTTGCTGACTATGCACCTGACAGCCACCTTCTTCTCCCACCAGGGCCACCCCGGACCCAAAGGGGAGATGGTAAGACTCCAGCTTTCTGGCTTCCAAAGCAGCTGGGGACAGAGCAAGTGGCTGCCTTCGCTGTCACTGTGCACACGCACATTGCAACAGGGAGAGGCAGGCTGGGGTTCCCCACCCTGAACCACAGGAAGGAGGGCCAGAGGGAGCACCATCTAGGCCGAAGCTGCAGGCAGTGGGCGGTGTCTGAGTGCACCCCAGCCAGCATCAGTACCCTTGGGTGCGCGCTCCCTCACCACAGCTGGCTGCATGAGCTGAGCTAGGTTGCCCTTTCCCTGGACCAGCTCTGCCCTGAGCTGCCCCGTGATGCTGGGCTTTGGCCCACACCAAGCAGGAGAAGAATGAGGCTTCAGCTTTCCCTCTTGTGGCCAAAAGCAACCTGCTTCCCACCTGCCACCCAGGAAAGGAGTCAGGGCTCCAGCTCTGTGAGGGGTTGGTCCTCAGAAGAGCCTGAAGGACGGCAAACAGGCCACCTGGCTGGGACACATAGCTGCCTCCCAAACTCTGCAACACAGGCTGGCATATGTGCCACAGTTGGTGAGAGCAACATTGTCCCACAAGCCAGTGTGAGGACTTGGTGACCAACACCCTGCCAGGGCGCCAAGGCAGGCAGGCGCTGCTGTGAACAGAAAAGGAGATGAAGTGCTGTCGCAGACTCTGGGGCCTCAGCTCCCACCTGCCAGCCCTGGGACCTTCAGCAGCCCAGCCCCTCGGACCTCAACCCAGCCTCCACACCCAGATCCAGCATTTGCAGCCCCAAGACTCCATTGCAGAGTTCCATGTTACTCAGCATCCTTAATGACAGGGATGCACACTGAGAAACGCAACACAGGATGATTTTGTCACTGTGTGGACATCACAGTGAACGCTTAGGTCACTAGGCAATAGGGCCACCACTATATACATGTCCCATCTGTGAGCAAACCGTCATTAACGCATCATGTAACTACATTATCTCATTCAGTTCTCAGTGTGGCCTGGAACTCCTTGTCCTCTTAGGACCCCCTTGACAGCTGTGGAAACAGGGCTCAGAGAGTTAAGTAACTGATCCAATTCGCACAGCTGGGAAGATCCCAAAACAGGATCCAAACCCGGTTCCTCCCCTTTGTTGCCTCCTTCCCTTCTGAAATGTATTTTTACTGACTATCTAGAGTGTTCTGGGCATTGCATCAGGTGTGGGATTGTGGACAGAAGCAGGCGACACCATCCTTGCCACCCTGGAGCTTGCATACTAGTGAGGGAGGCAAACATTTGAAGAACCCATTACATAGTTAACAAACTGCCCTGCAGTGGATGGTGTACAAAAGTCGTCCCCAGGACCCTGGGAAACCTCTGTATAGCAAAAACCTCACCCAGGCTGAGAGTCAGTGCAGACTTTCCTAAGAAAGAGACCTTGAACTGGGTTCTGAAGGATAAGATTCAACCATAACAAGATAGACAAGGAGAAATGGAAGAATAGCATTGCAAAGGCCCTGAGGTTGGGGAGTCTGAAGCGTCTACAGAGTGGGAGGTGGGTCAGTGAAGCCTGGCTTCAGTGGGCAGAAGAGCAGGCATTGAAACACGGGCCACCTGGCTGCTTTCTTCTGTCATTGCCTCCTGCCCCTGGCCACGCCGTCCACAGGCAAGAAGCAGCAGAGGCTGAGGCCACAACGAGCTGCCATGCTGCCCTCGTCACAGAGGTATCGTGGCTTCAGTTGTCGGGATCTGGGGTAGTCATCCCTTCAGCCCCTTTACACCTTCAGCCTGATGCCACCACAAGGCTGCCATGGCACCCCAGAGCAATATAAATGGTGCCCCGTGGGCACTGCTCTGTGACTCTCACAGCACGTAGATTCCCACTTGACAAGAAGGCAGATTAAGGCAGAGAGCACTGAGCACATTGCTCAGAGTGTCGTGGCTGCTGCGTACCTGGGCTGAGCTCCAGACCACGAGATGGGGTCTCACCCCTCAGCAGCTCCTCTTCTCTGCTGTGCATGTCCTTTGTCTTGAAGGCCAGGAACCCCTCTGTGGGACCCTCCTCACCCTCATTGCCCCCACCCACCTTACCTACCCCCCACAAGCCTTCCCTCAAGGGAAGGGGCAAGGCCTGCCTCCCATGAGACCTTATGACAGGCCCCTCTGTGCTTCAGCACTGTCCACCAATTCCATGAGCCCCCCTGTCTGGCTTGTGCAGGGACCTGGCTTGTCCAGTGTGACCACTGCCCATCTGCCATCTGTTTTCCCTCTCCTGGGTGTCCCAGCCTGGCCACCAGGCCCTCATGCTTAGCTTATAATCTCACCTTGCTCCACCTGTTGCCTCACCAAAGCCCAAGAGCCTGACATGAGGTGTGTGATTGCAGAAAGCAGGTGGAAACAAGATTGGGGTCCCAGACTCGGGCACCAAGGCCATGGGCAGAGCCTGGACTCGGCATCACAGGGGCAGGGCTGTCCTAGGGCAAGAGGCATTGTCACCCAGTGCCTGCACCCAGAAAGCATAAGGGCCTCAGCCCTGTCCGGTGCTGGATGCCAGGGGAGGGCTGCTGGGCCAGGGCCGTGACTGGCCATGTGCCGAGAGCTAGCTGGTGCCCTGCGGTATGGGGCTTTGAGGTACTTAGGAGGGTTTCAGATTTTAATTTACCTTGTTCTGGCTCTTCAGTGTTGGAAACGAATTGAAATAAACCCATAGAGGGCAAACAAAATACCCATGGAGACCAACTCTGTCCTGTGAGCTATGACTGGGTGTTTGCACTCGACCCTCCATGCCTCTGCAGCCCTGAATCCCAGGGGTCTCATCAGTACACACACACACACACACACACACACACACACACACACACTCCTCTCCCTGTCCTGACGGAGGGTGGCCTGGTCATCTGGGGTCTGGCTTCTGGCTCCTGCTAGTTGGACCCTGGGCTACTGAGTCTGACACCAAGTACTGTCCTCCAGCTGGGCTGGGCTTGCTGCCCCTTCTCCGGGTCACTGGGTCTCCTGGGGTTTCTGAAGCAGTAAGGCAGGGGCAGGAGAGGCTCTTTCCCCATCTCAGCAGTCCAAGGCCGCCCACCCTGATTGCCCCCAGCTTGGGACCCAGAGATGGTATGGCAAGGATGTCCTCACAGGCCAAGCTGAGAAGGACTTCGGGGGCCCTGGTTTTCCTTCTTATCAACCCTAAAGCCCTGCCTGCCCCCCATGAGCATGATGCAAGCCTCAGAGCCAGCAGGGCACCAGGTCCTCCTGAGGGAGCAGGCGCCTGCCCTGGCCCTGTGTGTTCCTCCGAGGAACTCAGAACCTGGCTTAGAGTGCAAACCTCCAGCTTCGTCTCTATGCCACAGGTTTCTCCAAAATGCCCAGTGTCCGCGGCACTGGCCTGTCCCCCTCCCACTATGTCCCCTGAAGCTTTCTGGCTCCGTGGCTTGCACTGAGGCAGAAGCAGGAGGTACCGGTGTCTTCTGGAGCTTGGGTGTAGGAGATCCTGGGGCAGATGGCCACCTGAGCCCTGAGTGCAGTCTGCTGCCCGGCCAGGGTGGGATGACAGTGGCTGGAGCAGTGAATACAGGATGCTATCCGAGGGGACAGGGCACACCTGGCCATACCTGTGGGTGGCGAAGAGGTAGCACATTGGTATGTAAGCCTCACTGTTTTGTGCATGTCAGACACAGAAGGCCGTGGCAGACAGACCCAGCCTTTGGCACTCCAGGACACTCCAAGAAGTCCCCAGATGCCCAGCGCCTGTCCCAGCTCCACCCAGGCACCAGCTCTGACCTGCCCTCTCCTGTCTGCTCACTGACCTGTGTGTGTTTCCTCCCCCAGGGCCTGATGGGTCCCCGAGGACATCCGGTTGGTACCTCTTCTTCATTGTTCCCTAGTAGAGAGGATTGGGCCTACTGTGTGCTGAGCTTCAATCTTTAACTCTCATTTCTCTCTCTTTGTAGGGACCTCAAGGACAAAAAGGAGAAAAGGTGGGTGTGGTGGGGGCTGCCTAAAGTCTCTAGCTTGGACACAAACTCCCAACAGGCAGAACAGGGTCAGAGTGGATGGTCTGAAGTTTAAGGTTGATTGACAGAAGCAGGAAAGGCCCCAAGGTGCCCCAGAACATAAGAGAGACACCATGGAGCTGCCCTGGGTAACAGCTTGGGGGAGGGTCTGCCCAGAGCAGGGGCCTTTCCAGCTTCTCCTCAGCATCTCCCACCTGCCACTCTCTGTCTCTGACCCTGGAGCCACTAGGATGGTGAGGTGTCCTCACCCCTTCCTGGCCTCTCCTTTTCTGTTGAGTTTCTGCCCAGAGCTCCAGGCCAAGGCTGTCAGGTGTTACTACCCAGAGGGTCTGCCTCCAGCCAGGGGCAGGGTATAATTCCCGCCCCTCCCTCACTCATGGGGGCACTCCCAGGCTTCCCTCCAGGGCCACAGAGGAACCTCCCCCCACCTCCCCATCTCCTACCCTAAGTCACAAGGCTCAGGCCAGCCAGAGCAATATGGACAGAGATTCATGGTGTAGTGGATAAGTCCCAGGACAAATCCCCAGCATGTGTCTAACACCGCCTCTCTTCTCCCCTCCCCAGGGCCAGTGCGGCGAGTACCCACACCGGGTAAGTGAGCTCCAGACCAAATGGGCCCTTTGATCCACCCTCAGCACAGCCCTGCTCAGCCTCATCTCCCTGGGGTCTCTGCACCTGACAGAGCTGGGGACAGGAGCCTGAGGCTCTGCTTAGTAGCAGGAGAGGTTGCAGGGCACCTGGTGGGCACCATGAGTGTGGTGGATTCCTGTGTGTGTGTGTGTGTGTGTGTGTGTGTGTGTGTGTGTGTGTGTCCATCCATCTGGCCATCTGTCTGTCTGGCCATCTGTGTCTGTCTAGTGGAGCCAGTCATCTACAGTCCCTGTCCCTCTGCCTATCTGCTGTCCTGGGTGCCTGGCATCACTCTGAGGTATGCCTGCTGATCTGGCTGCCTGCACCTCACCCTCTCCGATGGCTGTGTGGCTCGCGTGGCCTGTGTGAGCCCTTGTCTGCATTGGGAACGTGTGCAACTGTCTGCCAGAAAAAGAGGGACTTTTAAGTTCCTTGTTGCTTCAGATGCCTGAGCTTCGGGACAGGAGATCATTGTGGGGACCGCATGAGTTCAGGGGATAAAGTTTCCTTTTCCTTGTGATAAGCACAGGACGCCCCTCTCCCGGCAGTGTGAAGATTTATTGGGAGGTTTCTCTCCCAAGCCCTAGCTGGCTGGTTCCTTTTCTCTGCTCCACTTAAGAATAGCAGACCCTGCCTGCCCTTTAGGGATCCTCACCTGTGCAGCAACACAGGGGTCCTGCTTGGGACGGGGAACGCAAAGCTGAGCCCTGCTTCCTCAAGCAAGAGCCAGAGAACTAACGCAGAAACACCCCATGTGCAGGAAGCTGGGACCAGACAGCTGCACTCAAGCCTGGGAGGCAGTGTAGACAGGACAGGCATCTTAGGAGACCTCCCCTTGCCTCATGGGCCCCACTGTGCCCAGAAATGCATGGGTGGCTTCCCTGGCCTGCACCCTGGCTGGGTAGGCCCTGGGATTGGGTTTTGGAGGCAGAGAGCGGCACAAGCCAGCTCTCTAGGAGAGCTTGAATAAGGGCCTGACCCCTGCCCAATCACTAAAGGGACAGAGGGCATGGTGGTCTCTGAATTCTGGGTTCCTGGGCCAGGGAGAGGCCACTGGGGCCTGGAATGTAAGGGGCTGGAATAGGTTTGAGGTTGAGGCTGGGCTGGGCCTAGGCCGGGGGACACAGGCCACAGGCACGCAGACAGAGCTGGCCTGTTGGTGACATGTGCTTTGAGACCCAGGGGCCCCGGCATTCTGGCCAGCCCAATCCTGATACAATAATAGAAAGCCAGCTGTGTTTATTTGAAACAATGGGCTCACAAGATTGTTATGTTGCCCAAAAGAAAGGCAGCAGCCCCCAGCACAAAAGACACCCAGCTGCAGATACTTTGTCCATCTGTCACCAGTCCTGAAGGGACACTGGTGGCAGGCAGGGATGGGCACTCTCTACCCTTCAGCCCAGTATAAGAACAGGGAAGGAGGCAGTGATAGAATGTTCTAGAGGCACCTTGGCCCCAGACGCAGTGGAGCCAAGCCTTTGGTCAACAGCAGTCAGCAGGTGGGCACCCAACAATGGCAGAACAAGATTACTTAGAAGAGGTAGGAAAGCAGGGAGCTTTGAGGGGCCTGCTGATTTCACAAAGGGTCTGTGGGCCCAGAGGGGATAGCAGGTCTGTGAGAGCCGGGCTGGTCCCTGCCTTTTCCAGCCTGAGACCTCCCCAGGATAGAAGGGAGAGGAGAGAGGTGCTGGGTGGGCACAATGGAGTCTACAGGATGGAACAGTGGGCGGGCATCTGTGGGCCACCCCAAGCCTCCTGCCACCCAGCCTCTGCCGTCTTCATTTCCCTGCACACCAGGAGCATCTAAGCAGCACGCTAGCAGCTCTGCGCTCCAACCAGATAATCACCCTGAAGGTTGGTGGGCTCGGGAAGGTCTCTGGGCCCTGTCTGCAAGACGCTCCCTGCACATGAGTGCAGCACTGCCCTTCCTTCGCCACTTTCTGACGCAGACTGGGTGGGGCTCCGAGGGTGGCAGCTGCCCGGGAAGGCACAGGGCTGACCTGGAAGGCCCGGCCGGCTTCCCCATCCCCAGTTGGGTGACTTCTCAGCCCCAGTGGCTCCTAGTTCTCACAAGTTCATCCCAGGGTGCTTGAGGGAGTTCAAGTGCTTTTTGAAAACAAGTAGTTGGTTCGGTGCCATCTTTGTTTCCCGTGGGCTCACCGCCTCTTAAAACCATGGGTTAGTCAGACAGACAGAGGAACTGTGCAGGAACTTCCAGAAATGAAAATCTCACTGGGTAATCAGATTGCAGGTTGCCTCCCCCCTAAAAAAAAAAAAAGAAGAAGAAGAAGTGGTTGAACATTCCAGAGACATCTTTACCCAACTTCTATTTTCCAAGTGTGCCGGCCCCCCAGTGAGAACTCAGTAGCACTTAGCCTGTGCCCACATCAGCCTCGCCCTCCTGGGCTCAGCCCCAGCAACTGCTTCGGCCCTTCCTGACCATCCCCAGATTCGCTGACATCAGCCTTTCTGGTCCTACCAGAGAAAGAAGCCAACAAGGGCTGCACATCAGACTGGCTTCAAGTACCAATTTAGCTGTCCTGCGGCTCCTGCACCAGAGCCTCTGAGTCTGTGATGCACAGCCCGACAGCCGTGTCCCCTAATGGGCAGGGATGGGTGGGGTGGCAATGCAGTATCAGCCTGTGTTGGCAGCCTCTGCAGCCCAGCATGTCTGGGGGGCAGGCTGGGCCACGCAGGACCTGTCTCCCAGTCCAGGGGCTGCTGGCTGGCACCCCACGCTCCAACCTGGAGGCCAAGGCAGGGTGCAGAGGGAAGGCCGCTCCTCCTTCCCAGGGCCGGCCGCACCCCCCTAGGCCTGTGTCCCCAGCTTCAGTAGCACCTGTTCACGCTAATCTCTCTTTTCTCCTCCTCTCCTCCCACCCTCTGGCCGCTCTGCCTTCCTGGTGACTTTGAACGCGGTTCTGGATGCCTGCGATCTCTGGCCTTTGCCCTCTGGCCTTCCAACTCACCTTTCTCTTCAGCTGCTGCCTCTCCTCAATTCAGTGCGGTTGGCTCCACCCCCAGTCATAAAAAGGCGGACTTTCCAGGTAGACACCTTCCCTGTGCCAGACCCGTGTGGCTTCCCCCAGGGACCAGCAAGTCTGTGGTGCCTGACAAGCCAGATGGGGCTGAAGGCAAAGCCAGAACCTTCTCCTTGAATTAAATGACACACGCATGGGCCTGTTCATATGATGTTGGCAGAGCACCCAGCACAGAGCAGGGATTTGCACTTAGGGCCTCTGCCTGTCGCTGGCCATGTAAGCCTAGTCAAGTCACTTGACCTCTTGGCACCTCAGCGTCCTCGTCTGTAGAATAAGGATGATAACAGTGTCTGCGTCTTAGCGCTGTTGAGACACGTATTACTGGTGTTGGTCCTCCTGTGCTGCAAGGGATATAATGCTAGCTGATGTCATTTCTGTTGCCCACGTTTTGGAGACAAAGAAACTGAGGCTCAGAGAATTAAGTTGATTTGCCCAACATCACAGCACGAGGAAGACTTGGGACAGGCTGGAGTTCTCTGGCCCCCACATCCACCACTCTCGGCCTTTCTACTTCGAAATGCAGGCTGCTTAGCAGCTGATCCTGCGCCTCCTCTATTGAGCAGTGAGGATGCTTGCAGAGGGAACGTAGTCCATGACCAAAGGCTGTGATCACTGACAGCCACCTCTTTCCTCTTCCTGCCTTGCAATAGCCCAGAGGCTGGCACCACAGCAGGTTGCCAAGGACGAAGCAGTCTGGCTCTGTCTCCAGGAAATCACAGCTTGCTTCCAGGCCAGGCTCAGGGCTGCCCGCTTTGCCTCTCACCTTCCTTGCCTTGCACAGGAGATGTCCCCAAGTCACAGGGATGCTAGGAATGTCAGGCTACTTAGCTGCTCTCTGACAGTCCCACAACAGGGCCTTAAGCCTCCTTTCTTGGGCATCAGGATCCGAGCAGCCCAGATGTTCAGGCACCTGATGCAACAAGACCTAAAAGATGCCCGAGTGAACAGCTAAAAGCAGAGGGACGTGCAGTGTGCTCGCCCCCCATACTTGCACCCACAACTCACATTTCTCTGGCCAAGTCCTCAAGAGCCTTTGTGTATAACCAGTGCATGCCCCAAGCAGGGCAGCTCAGAGCAACGCCAGGCCCAACCCACTGCCAGCCCCGAAGGCCTAGGCTGAACCCCAGTGCAAGAGAGCTGCGGCCCAACTCTAGGAACCATCCTCCTGGGCACCAACATGTGCAGCCACCTCATGGCCACGGCCATGACTTACTAGCTTCTCTTAGCCTGCAGCCCTGGTGTGAGAATTCTGCACACACTCATGCCTATAAACTCCCACATGCACCACCCAGTGATGGATGCCATCTTCATCCCTAGATTTGCAGAGGAAGACACTCCAAGGTCCAGGCTTGGACCCAGGCCATGCAGGTTGTTGCCTCCCTTTGCAAGAGCAAAGAGTGGGGCAGCCAGAAATCTCTGGGCTGTCCTGACCTGGCTTTCAGAGTACAGAAAAACAGGGCTCCTCTGCTACCCACTATAGACTGCCTAGGGAATAAGGTTTACATGCATTTGGCCACTGTAGGACAGAAAAGGGCTTGTCCATGTCCTATCAATAAACCAAATATTGGTTTCGCAGGCTCTGCAGGATGGCCCAAGGTTACTTGAAAGAGGAGAGTTTATATAACACACAATGTGCTTAGCAGATGGTGCTGGAGGTCATTTCCAAGGTGCCGGAAGTTGGACTGAAAGCCCATCTTGCTAGGGCTTATTTGGATCCAGAAAAACAGTCTGGACTTCAGAGTTGAGTCAGGGTCCTGTTCCATCTTAAATGTTCCCTGTGACCTTGGCCACAGTTGAAAGAGCTCAACTTCTCTGGGCCTTTGGTTTCTTTTCTGAACAATGGGATTTGTGCTGTTGTACTGTGGATTATCTTTCTCTAAAGGTATAAGCACACTGTGGAGAACATAAAGCAGGATTCCGAGGCAGTCAGAGGACGGGAGGCCCAGCCAGGTCCGTTCTGGTCGGAGGGCAGGCCGCACTGGCTGCCTTAGAAGCCCAACCTTAGCTAAGCTAAGGTTCAGGAGAAAATGCCCCCACACACATACACACCGAAAGAACCTTAACAACAAGTAACATGAAGCTGGGCCAGGAAAGGGTGACATACTATTTGGTGGTTTCTCATAAGGCCTCAGCATGAGGTCCAGGCCATGGAGCGACACTGTGGGCATCATCTGTCCGAGGAGGCTCAGCCATGAGATGGTATAAGCAGTGTCACCAGAGCTGCGCATTTCTTTTTCCCAGGCTGCACTCTTGTTTACAGTCATGCCAGGGGCTCACAGCAGGCTTGTTGGCTCTGTTCTCCACACATGACATAGGCCACCCAGTGTCCCAGGGCTTACCCATTTCACTGAGCAAGTGCACTGGCCCCGGACACTGGCTACTGTAGCCCCTGTGTCTAGCCTGGAGCTCTCACAGCTGCCACCCTACAGGGATGGGCACCTCCTCACAAGAGCTGAGCCTAGATTGTCCCTGGAGAGGTCACTTAGAAACAGTGCGTTGGTTGGGCATGATGGCACATGCCTGTAATCCCAGCACTCAGAAATCAGAGGCAGGAGGGTCACAGCAAGTTTTAGGCTGACCTGAATCTGTCTCAAAAAAAAAAAAAAAAAAAAAACAAAGGAAAGAAAGAGGCAGACAGAAACGAAAAAGAGAGAAAGAGGGAAAGGAAAGAAAGAAGGAAGAGAAAGAAAGGAAAGAGAGAGGAAGGAAGGAAGGAAGGAAGGAAGGAAGGAAGGAAGGAAGGAAGGAAGGAAGGAGGAAATAAGGAATTTAGCAGGAGTTTAGGTACTCGATGACTGGCTTGTCCCACCCCAAGATTGAGGTCACATGTCTCCTGCTGCTGAAAGAACACAGTGCCTCACCTGCTTTCTGGGCTGCTGGCACAGCTTGGGGACATCCACGGTGGGTGACAAAGACTGGGCTCAGAGCAGCTCGCTGAGGAGGAAGGATGGGCCCACGGATGCACACAGCAGCCTGCACAGATGCAGAGCACCCCACAGCCCCTCACAGCTCCTTCCCCATGGCGAGTGTGGCAAGCGCAGTGGTCCTCTGAGCTCAGGCACATCACATGAGTGACAGAGAAAGGGTAGGGAAGGTGGGGACCAAGGCAACCAGAAAACTCATGCCCAACCTAAAGGGGTGGCCGCTCCTCCACAGGAATGTGGGCCCAGTGTTGCCAGGGTTTCATGTGGTTCACAGAGCCCCCAATCCACATTTGGTACATAAAACCTTCCTCTCCATTCAGCAGTGACCTCTGACCTATGGCTTTGGTTGATCCACCTCCACTAGAGGTGACCCTAGTCTGCAAAAAGTTGAGACAGGAATCAAGAAACATCTGTTCATGTTCTATGGCTGAGAGCCTGGGTCCTAGAGAGATTAAATGACTTGCCACACCAAGAGGGTGACAGAGACCCTCCAGGCAGGACTCTGGCCATTGGGCACAGGGCCATCTGGTCAGGCCAGGGAACCCTCACACTCATTCCCAGCGGGTGCTGAGCCCTGGGGAACAGCTTCTTCAGGCAGCAAGTCCTCTCTGGCAGCCCCACCGCTTGGGGACCTGAAGTCTTGGCACTGTTTGCACTGCCACCAGCCCCTGCATGTGATCACCGCCGCCACAGACTCCTCCCCATCACGCCCACCTTGTCCACTGTCACTGCCACCTTCTGCACACAGCCACAGTGGGGCCTCATGGGGTGCACTGAGTGGGCTGGGCTCCTTGCAGCTCTGAAGTCTCCTCTCTAACATTGTCCTCCATGAACCTCAGGGTGAGCAGGGCCAGGCTGGCATCCAAGGCCCACCAGGGCCACCAGGCCCTCCTGGACCAAGTGGACCTCTGGGGCATCCAGGACTGCCAGGGCCCATGGGTCCACCTGTAAGTATTCCCTTCCCCTCTCCACCAAGATTTGCCCCAAGAATTCTCTTTGCCCCTAGAAACCTCCAAGCCCTGAATTATCACAAAAGCTGGGTTTCCAGCAAATGGCAGAAAGACCAAAGACTATCCGTCCCTGGCATGCTCTCCTGTTGCCCTGCAAACTTACCTGGCAGGGCCACCACCAGCCATGATTTCTGTCCCTGGTCCCTGGCCTAGACAAACCCAAGTCAGAGGCAGTAGGCTTTGCAACCAGCAACCAGCAACCAGCAACCAGCCCCCACCCCCGACCCCTGACCCAGATGAACCTATGTTGTCTCTGGGGTGCGTGTGGTTTCACAAGAAAGCCTCCTTTCAGAAAGAGTGTCCTTCCCTGGGACCCCACCCAGAGTATGAGGACTGCTGAGAGAGGTTCAGAAGGTCAGCAGCAACCTTCTCAGTCTGCAATCTCAGCCCGGTGGCTCCCAATACCCCATTTTCAAGCCCTGGTCAAGACCTTGTCTCAGCCCTTCTGTATAGCATATCCCAGAACAGAACAGCAGGAGCTGGGCATCTTTGGAGAAGGGAGCTGTCCCTTACTCTCTGTGTGACCCAGGGAACAGGGGTGGCAACAGTCACCTTTCCTTTTAGTAATGCTTTTTTCCGTGGGCTAAAAATGTGGTGTTGGGCCAGGGAGATAGCTCAGCAGTCTAAGCACCTGCCTGGCAAGCACAAGGACCCGGGTTTGATCCCCAGTACCACATGCTGTGCTGGCCCCTCGCCAAGCTGGCCACAGACCCCAGGCATGGTGATACATCCCTGTAATCCCAGCGCTGGGCAGGCTGAGACAGAAGGATCACTATGAGTCTAAGCTGTATAGTGAGACCCTGTACCAAATAAATAATAATAAAAGATTTTTTTAACTAAAGTAAAATAAGAAAGCTATATATTTTTTTTTAAATGTGGGGGTTTTTTTTTCCTCCGAGGATTAAAAACATCATACATTCATTGTGAAAGGCTTGGAACATTAACAAGGAAAAATGCACACACCTCTTATTTCCCCACATTCAGAGTCCTCCTCCTTCACAGTTTCCAGAGTCCTCTCCTCTTTGTCCCCTGCAGATCTGCCCATAAACACTCTCCAGCTTGGCAGGTTCTGAATGACCTAACAGTTTGATTGGCTGCCCTGCCCCCCCCCATCCTGAGGCTCGAGGGAAATGTGAGGGCCCAAGTTGGTGGGAGCCAGCTGAGCTCAGCTGCTGCCCCAAATGGATTTAAACATTGCCACGATTTCCCCAGCCCCCGAAGCAGGGAGATTGGTATCTCTTCCACCAGTCTTTAAATGAGAAAATGGAAAACCCAAGAATTTAGAAAATTGAACCAAACCAAGCCAAGAAAACCAAAAAGTGTTCAAAAGTCCTTTCTTTGCTCACTACTGCCCTCCTGCCCAGCACATCAGGCTCCTGTCTACTGAGTCTAGGCCAGTGAGTCTTTTGTTAGGTTGTTTATAAAGGAAAAACCAGAAAGCATGTTTTCAAATCAGTTGAAACAGAGAAGACGTAGGCATCGTGGTGTTCTCCACCCCATGTCCACTGACTGGGCCTCCTGGCCTCTCCTTGGGCTCCTGAAGGCCCCTGTGCCACACTCCAGGCAGAGCAAGACATCAGGCAGAGCCATGGGCAAAAATCAAGGCCTTGATGGGCCAGGCTGGCTTCCAGGGAGGGGCCCAACTGGGAGATCAGTGAGTGACGCCCTGGACCAAGCCACACCGTCAATTTAGCTCGATGCCGCCGACCTACTTTCCAGTGGACCAGCACACAGGCACTGCCCACAGCGCCCACATGGCTACAGAGAGCGCCATGAGCCTTCTGTCCCCACGTGCCCTCCAGTTTTATTTTCCCTTCCGGGATACTCTAAAGCTGCACTCTGGCATCCTTGTTCTCTCATTAGAGCTCTCTGGGGGGGGTCAGTGGGCCCTGATTCCACTAGAAGTGCAACTAAACTCAGCCACTTTCCCTTTCTTGCTTCTGCAGGGCTTACCTGGGCCTCCAGGACCAAAGGTAAGGACCCACCTCATAGACCCTTGCTCCAGGAGGACAGTGCCTTGGGGTGGGGGGGAGCAGACGCCTGACCACAGAGTTGAGTAGATGGATTAGGCTTGGCTCACTTCCAGAACACTACCTGGTTCCAACGTGTACAGCCCTTCCTGCACACTCAGGGTGCCCGGCAAGCTCCCCGCCACCAGAGAGACAGTACGGTGCCACCCACCAGGCAGCTTATTTTCTAATCAGAAACTGAGGGCACTTGCAGTGACACGGTCACAGTATCCCAATCGAACAATGCTCTACAAGAGGTCAGACCCAGAGGAGGCCTGCAGGGTCCTCGGGTCTCTTGTGAAACCTTACCCAGAAGCCCACAGTATCAAAGAGATTCTCACCTTGAAGCTGGGGGCCCAGGGCTCAGGGAATGAAAAGGTGCAGAGTGTTGATCTGCTCCTCCTAAAGTGTCACTGTGGATGTCAAGAGCTCTGAGAAAAAGTGACCTGCCAGGTTCCAAGAGGATTCTTGGTGGAGCCAAAACTAATAGTCCTGTGTCATAGGAAGGGTCCTGCCAAGCTGACCCTTCCCAGAATTCCTCAGTCATGTGCACAAGCTGAATAGGATCTGTTGTCCCGGGAATGGCGGGAAGTGGGTGTTAAAGAAGCAGGAGGATTTGGAATCCTTGGGAGGAAGATTGGTATTGTTCAGGGAACAGCGCCAACCAGCTTGGCACTGAAAAGCCCACTTGAATGATCTCTTTTGTTCCCCCAGGGAGACCCTGGGATCCAGGGCTTCCATGGCCGGAAGGTAAGAAGGAGGGGATGGGGTGAACCTTGGCTGTCCCATGGGTATGCAGTGGCCCTCAGCATGTCACACACGGGGCCAGGGTCGGGTAGTACACAGGGCACATCTGTGCATGCACTGCCCTGCACGCCTCACAACTCCTGGGTAGAGAGGGCTCGGAGGGCTCAGCATGTCCACTTGGGGAGGGAAGGGGCACAGAAAGAACAGGGCCTTGGGCACATAGGTGTCCCAGCCCAGATGGCCTCTCCAGACAGCCTGGGTGACAGCATCTGGCCTGAGGGAGCCAGGTTCCCACCATCCCACTCTGGGTCTGCCAAGAGGGAAGAGGATGCCTGTGTCCAGTGCAGAGATCCACGCTACGGCTGATGGGAGGCCACCCCTGCTCTCTGACAGCTCCCAGGCCAGACAGACAGACACATTCCTATATAACCAATCCTGATAGAAGCAGCCACCAGGGAAGGTGCTCTGTGAGTCCAGGGGTAGAGAAATGAGTTCCAGGCTGGGAAGAGTCTGGGAAGTCTCCTGGGACAAGACAGCCAAGTGCTCAACCCTGATGAGTGGGTGGTCAGTTATCTCTTGCTGGACAGCGAGCGGTGCGGGACTTGCTGGCCTCCTTCTTCCTGATTCTGTGGACCGATGAACTGAGAGCTCCTCTAGTCTCCCCCGATTCCCTGTGCTATCAGATGACAGCAGAGGGCCAAACCAGCCTGCCTCGCGTGCACGTCTCTAGCAGTCAGTGCTGGCTCAGAGCTTGGGGCCACTGTTCTCCTCCCTGTGGCTGCTAGTCCTCCCGGGGGCCCACAGGCTTCCTCAGGCGCAGCAGGTATGGCAAGCCAGGGCAGCCTGCGCCTTAGGCCAGCCCCCTTGTGTAAGTGCTTCACAGTATATTTGCTTTGGGTTGTCCTTGGGGGGGAGCTGTTTTAGTTACCCTTTTCTTGTTGCTGGGACAAATACCCAACACTCAAACTTGAGGAAGGAAAGGTTTATTTAGCTCACAGTTACTCAAGGTTTCACAGTTTAAAGCAGCCTGAATCGTAGCAAGACGTTGGAGCCTTATTTGCTCAGGAGAGGGTCAGTGTCTCTGTCTTCTCCAAACATCTCCCTGCCCGAGCCTCAATCACAGACACCGCCACCCCTCGCTACAGAGTCTGAATGAGAGGCTGGGGCACCACCGCGTCCAGGATGACCCTCTGCACACCGCCAAGGGAGGCTGCTGGCTTTAGAGTGGGCAGCTTCTGCTGTCAGCTTCTCTGGACCCGCCCCTCGAGTGCCTCCCTGGTCCTCTGGCCCTGCCCCTCAAGCCACTCTGCTCCTCAAGCTGCATTTGCCCCATGACTTACATGATGTTTTGGGCAGACAACTAGACACAAACCATAAGGTGGGGGGGGGGGTCATCAAAGCAGGTCACGTGACTAAGCCCTGTGCACCCGTATGGGAAAGGATTGGTTTGTGCTGCTTGATCAGAGGAATAGCAAAGCACCTGAGTCCACTTCTCTTCCACTGCTGTGGTCCTTCAGCTGGTAAATTTAAAGGAAAATGGTACTTTATTTATTTATTTGTTTTATTTATTTATTTTTTATTTATTTATTTATTTATTTATTTTGTGGAACTGGAGATTGAACTCAGGCCCTTGCGCTTGCCAGGGAAGCGCTTATTCCATTGAGCCATCTCCCCGGCCTGAAAATGGTACTTTAGATGGCAAAACAAATTGAGCAGAGGCCCAGAAGCAGTCATTACAATAACTAGAACCACAAAGTAATACTTTTGCAGTAGTCGCTACTTCCTGGGAAGCTGCTATGTGCCAGTCACCATCCTACTGTGGGCCGTGCAGCATGAGCTACGTTCTTTCTAACCCCCAGACCGCCCTGAGGCAGGTAGGACTATCTTCCTAATTATTAAAAGAGAAAACAGAGGCTTTCTCAAATCTCTTTGCTTGAACTAGCAGCCCAGGAATGCAAGTCGCATCAGGGTCCTTCCTGTGGTCCCACCTGCTGGAAGGCTCATCCCAGCTCTCCAGCCCTGGCCCGGAAGCCTCTGGAGCCCTCCAGGGGCAGGAAAGTGGCAGGAAGGAGAGGTACGGAAAGAGGAAGGCGAGCTAGGGCGAAAAGACCCGCCCCCACTCACATAGAGCCCTTGCATGCTGCAGTTGGGCGGCTGCCGTGGCCACTTTGTTTTATGGCTGCATGGAGGGTGAAATGGCGAGACCTGAGAGATCTTTAATTAGTTCTGCATAAACTGAGAAGTTTGTATTGCGTCAGGAAGTAGAAATTATAGCCCCCACGGTTGCCTCTATCTATTCATACAGACTCACAAAATTTACTGTTGCCTGGTGCAGTGCAGGGTCGGTTTTCCCATTAGCAGCTGGGCCAGCTCTCTCAAGCTGTGAGCCGGTAGAGGGGCCCCAGAGGTCATGGCAATGCCCCCAGCTGGCACTGTACCATGACAGGCTCTGCATCTGCTGCAAACTGGAAGTCTGGTTCTTCTAAAAGGTTGTGCTGAGGATGGAGAAGCTTCCGCTGATGGTTCCAGCATCATGATGCTAGTGGGTCTGGGCCAGTGAAATGACCATGCTAGATGCAGACTGTAGCAAGAGTCATTCCACCCAGGCTGTGTCAGGTGTGCAGAGAAGACAGCACGGTCCTGTGCAGAGACAGGGGCCCCAAGCCAAGCCTTGCTTGGCTCCCCTTGCTTCCTCTCTGGGTCTCTAGGAGGCTCCTGCAGCCTCCACTCCTCCCAGCCATCAGCCTCATGCAGCCAGCTGGGCGGCAGGCACTTTCACCTGCAGGTGGTCTGTGCCAGTCCTCACTCTGCAGGGACCCTTATCCTGTCACCAGTGTCCCAGTGCCTTCTGGTTCACAGCAGGCAGAGGGCCCTGGGACCTGATGACCAACAGCACAGGTCTACCCCTAAGAAGCAAGGCCATTCCTCAGGCACTCCAAGTGCCCATTCCACTGCCCCCACCCCACTGGAGTGGACACGCTGGCCTCAGTGACTACTGTGCTGAGGCAGACACTTCGTACCCCCTTAGTGTCCTAGGATAAAAGACCTTTTGTCTTTGACACCCAAAGACTCATGCAGCAATACTTCATGTCTCTATATCAGCCTAAATCCAGTCACTCCCTCTCTCATTCAGTCCCTGAATGAGATTAGAGCCCATCAACCCCATGGCACAGAGCTTATTACTTTGCCCAACGTTGCTCAGCTAGCGAGCGGCCATGCTGGAATTAGCAGCCCCATCTCATAAATTCAAGGCTGGCAGCAGATCGACTTAGCCCGCCTTCCCCGCGCTTTGGCTAGGCTGGAAGGCTGATCCTAGTTCCTTCCCTTTTGCCCAGCACTCTCCTCTCTGCTCTCTGGAATAGGGGAGGAGGCACTCGCTTGGAGGGTGCCTGGCCACAGACGCTGGGAGGATGGATCAGCTCCCCTGACCCCGGGGGAGGAGTGGCACTGGCAGTAGGGAACATGGAGCTGAGCAAGGTGACCCCGTCCTATAGGCAGGGTGGGAGAGGACTCCTGGGGGACGGCCGGTAGGGGGCCTGGCCCAAGGCGAGCTTCACCTGTTCTGTCCCAGAAACTTGCAGTGGAGTTTAGCCTCTCTGCCCATGTAGTTTGCTAGTGGTAAGTTCCGTCCTCTGGGCTGAGCCCAGTGTCATCTCAAAGGCCAACAAGGCCAGCTTCTCACTGGCTTCTTGAGATGAAACCCCGGTGTGGTCAGCAGGCCCCTGTGGCCCCCACATCTGCCCTGGACCAGGCCTCCTACCAGGACGCTGCTAGTGTTATTGGGTACCCATATGGTCCCCATTTGATCCAAATTTATGGTGCAGATCTACTTTAAATACATTGTGAGATGCAGCGTGTGTTCACAACCTTGGCTTTCTGTCAAGAGGATTGATGAGGATTGTCAGATGGATGTGGGCCCCCAGCCCCGAAGCGGCTTATCTCCGAGTGCATCAGAGCTGGTGCAGTACTTACCGCGCATGAGGGCTCGCCTGTCGCTTGTGTGGTCTGGATGCTGTACCTTGGAGTTTGCATGAAGCCCCTGGCTGGGGCTCACATTCCTTCCTCTAGGCCATGAGCCAGGCAGTTTTAGACCAGGGGAAGAGTGACACCAAGACCTCATGTCACAGCCACCCACAACCGTAATTGTTCCTCCTAGAGGCCTTGGCGGCAGCACCCACCACCCCAACAAGGACCCCCAAGAGAAGAGATCCGAGGGGAATGTCCTCACTCCTGCCGCAGGGTGTAACCATTCTATCCTGCCAGTCAGTAAAGGTTCCTGAGTCTACAGCTGCCTCTCGGAGCCTCTTCCACGTGCTGGGCTGGGTGCCCACTACTCCACATGCGCCATTTCACTGCCTCCCTGTGGCAGGTATTGCTCTTGTCCCAGCTCACAGATGAGCAAAGTGAGGCTCACAGAAACCCCTCTGCCACCTACAGCTAGGAATGGAGGAGGGTCTCTGGCTCAGGGCGCTCAGGACCTCATGACTTAGCCCTTCACCCAGAAGGCAGGGAGATGAAAATGAAGTTGTTACTTTCTTGTGAGAGAAAGCTGGATTCAGGCCCTGCCTGGAGCCTCGGGGCTCTCAGCAGGTGTAAGCAGCTGGAAGATGGGTAGCGGGGTCCCTGGTGCTCGTGTGGGTGAAGGGTGGAGGCAGTACAGTGCTGTGCCCTTTGACACTGACTGGCTGAGTCCCCAGAGTCGGGGTGGTCCCCGCCTCCTGATACAGCCGGGCCAATGTGTCTCGACCCCAGTGACGTCTGTTCTGGAAAGCTTCCTGCAGTCCGTCCCCCAGGAGACCCTAGTGACCCCAGACCCCTTCCATGCATCAGAGGGCTCCACACTGGTGGGAACCTGCGGATGTGGGGACAGCATTTTCTAAGCCATGAAATCCCAGTGGGGACATCCAGACCATTTAAATGAAAGCAGATCAAAAAAAACTGAGACACAGGCCCCAGATCTGAGGCTGCGTGGGGGCTGGAGTCCCCACCCTGCACTCTGTGGGCCCTGTTTCTCCGGCGCTCCAAAGTCCATAGATTAATTAGAGCTGACTTTTTCTTTTTGGAACTAACTACAGAATCAACCGATCTCAAATTGAGATTAGAAATCAGCCACCCTTCCAAAGCCCTGCCCTTCAGTAGGGCGCCCGACCCTGTAATTCCCCAGATTACTTCCTGCCGGCCTTAATTACCGGAGCAGGGGGACCTAGGATTTCGCCGTTCCGGTCCTCTCTGGCCTGGAGACCTGACCCACTGGGGCAGGGCGGGGAAGCAGGAACCATGCTGCCCTTTCCTGGAAGGATGGCCTGGGAACTCTTCAGAGGGGAGAAAGGCAGGACCCCTCCCCCCAGTTTCTCCAGCCCAGGACAGGCCCCTCAACCACTCCACGGCCTTCCTCCTCCCCTGCAGAGAACAAAGGCTCTGTGTGCCTTGCCGCTGCCAGAACACCCCCCACCATGCAGCCTTGTGTCAGGGAGGTCCATTCATCTCCTGAGTGTGCACCTGACCTTTGTTGGCCAGAGAGCTGACCTTGAAGCCCCCTACTTCCCCCTACACACTCTTTTTGCCAAGTTCCTGCACAGTTTGTTCAACAAAAAGCAAATCACCATTTAGAGACCAATTGGACGCAACCCAATATGGCCCGCTCAATCTGCACCTCCCCATAAAGGACAGGTCCTCCCACCTGGAGCCTGTGCAGAGCAGAGGACCCACTGATGCTGGGCCTTGGGGAGTCTGAGCTGCAGCTCCTACATAGGGGCAGGGAGAGGCCTTCCAAGTCATTCTGGGAAAACTCTCCCCACCCACCATGTTCCCCTGACGTTCTTAGCTGCAATGACTACAATCCACCCCTCCAGATATCAGTTCCCTTGGTTGGTACCAGGTTTAAAAAAACAGCCTCCCAAAGGGGTAGCAGCTGCCCCTGCCACCATATGAGGGCAAATAGGCCAAGACCTTTTGTAAGCTCAGAGAACCGATTTCCACACCCTTAAAATAACCCAGATTGGTGGCTGAGCTTCCCCTCTAAGAAGATAAAGGAAGGCAAGGTAGACAGAAAGGGGAACCCGAGGGCATGGATAGACTGACAGAGCCAGGCCTCGTAAGATTGGGGTGAGATCTGAACTGAGTGCTTATATCATAAGAGTTAGAACAGGAGGTGCTGACAACCCCGAGGAGCTGCCCATGCACAATGCAGTCACTGTCCTTCAGCCACAGCCTGTCCCCTGCAGATGTGTCCCTGTCATAGCATCCTGGCTCCTGAAGGAGGACAGACCCTGTCTGCCCTTACCGTGATCCAGGAAGCAGTGTTTCCTGGTCTAGAAGCCCAGACCCCCAGCTCCATGACCAGGATTGGGCAGCCCACTGGGGCTAATGAGAGCAGGATGAGCTGCAGGAGCAGCTAGGAGGTCAGCGGGGCACTAGCGCTTCCTGCCCTGAGGTGGGATCAAGGGAGCCCGTCCCTGTGCAGAATGGAGAGACTTGACCTCGAGGGGAAGGCAGGGGCAGAGGTCACCACCCTAATGAGCAGGGCTGCACCCCGGGAGGCACAGCTTCTCCCGGACCTATATTTCAGCCAGAGCTCTGAGTCCCTCCCCCAAGAAGCTACCGGAGCCTGAGCACTGCCCTCCAGGCTGCCGGGGTGCAAAGGCTGGCTGGGTGGAGGTGGGCAGCAGGCATCTGCTCCAATCTCATTGTGCTGCCAGGAGGCTGGACCCAGACAGGGAGAGTGAACACACAGATGGCCCAAGGGTCATGGAAAAAGGAGGACTCTCAGAGGGAAACTGAGGAGAAGGCACGGAAGAGGGACAATTGAGAGGGCTCCCAACAGTGGGGGATTTCCAAGCTGACCTTCACCACACCCCAGACCTCTGGGACCTCCTGGCTGAGTGAGCCCAGTGGAGTCTGTCAGAATGTTAGCAGAAGACGTGGTCCTCCAAAGGGAAGCTGGCGCTCCAGAGACTGGGACAGCTGAGGTGGGAATGGCCGGCTTCAGAGGAGGTCCTGTTGCGCCCTCTGCTGGCCACAGGGTAACCCTGCACATGCAGGAGCCCCCCACTTCCTGGTGTTCCTAGTGCCCCAGGCTGAACTGCCTTCGTGCTACTGATGCAGACCTGGGGACCCAGCAGAGAGACAGCAGCCTGCAGCGACTAGCAGATGGAAGTGGATGGGACATCAGATCATCTGATGCCGGTGTGCCCACCACACATGAGTGCCTGGACATGAGAAGAGGCCAAAGCTGTGTACAAAGCCTTGCTCTGCACAGCCCTGCACTCATCCCTGGCCTCACCGGAGCTGCAGCTTAGTAGAGAGACAGGTGGAGCCTCCGCTCCACATTAGAAGGACCCCTGGAGCCGGACAGGGAGCTCGGAAGGCCAGCATCACATGCAGGGCACTGCAGCACGGTTGCGCTTTTCTCTACTTTTTGTGCAAGAGGAAACTTAATGAATGGACCAGGTTTTGCAGCACCAGTTTGACTGCTGTGGTCACTCCCCAGGTCACTTTCCTACCTGTGGCTGAGGCAACACTATCAGGGGCAAAAAAAAGGATGGCATTTGGGGCAGAAAATTCTGTCCTGCAGAGTTTAAAACAGGATGAAGCCTGGGATATAGCTTAGCAGCATAAGCACCTGCCTGGCAAGTACGAGATCCTGAGTTCAATCCCCAGTACCAAACAAAACAAAACAGGATGAAGTTGAGTTGCCAGGCAGATATCCATCTGTGTGTGCAGGTCGTAAGTGCAAACTGGTCCCTGAGGTGCTGCGTAGCCAGCAGTGCGTCCTGGGGGTGCAGAGGGCTTCACAGAGGGGCAACATTTGACCAGAACCCAGACAGCACCTGGGGCTTGTGCTGAGGAAATGCAGAAAGGTGTGGAGCACAGCAGTGTGTGATTAGGGACACAGATAACAGCCAGAACCCAGAGTGGGAGGTGAGCAGGTGAGGAAGGGCTGGGTGTCAGAATAGTGTGCCCAGAAACCTGGCCATGGGCCTAAGGTCAGTGCCCGACAGGGTGGGCGTGCCACCCAGCCCATGTGTTAGAAGCGTGCCTGGGTGCTGGCCCAGGAAATGTCACCAAGGAAGACAGCAGAAGTCGTTCTAGTCTGGACCAGCAGGAAGGAGGATCAGGAAGTCCTGTAAGGTAGCAGAGAAGAGGGAGTAGACAGCTAAACAGGTGGGAACAGGTGTGCCTGCGCCCCAGAGCCTGTGCATGCCAGCCTGACCCACAGGTCCAGCACTTAGGCTTCGTAGGGCAGCTTCCTAAGAACAGGCCTGGCAAGGCTCTGGGAAGCCCATCTGTAGCCTTCACACAAAAAAGCTGCAACAAGCTGGCAGCAGTCACTTTTGCTGGACAGCACCGTGGGCCCTGGCTACAGCTTCCACCTGGGGTTTGCTGCGGGGCGCAGCACCTGGAGACAGGCTCTGTCTCCTTCCTCCCCTGATGTGGCTGGTTAAAATCTGCCACCTACCCGAGGCCCATTTTCACTGCCAGTCCTCTCTCTGTGGCGTGTCCATCTTCCCAGCCCCACCCCATCCCATCGATACAGAGCTGCCGCCAGGAGATAAGGAGCTCGGAGGTAGTGAGAAGCAGAGCTGAGATGCAGAGCGAAGCCCGCGACATCTCAGAGAGGCCACAGCTGGCCTGGTGCCTCGGGATGGGCAGGGCCAGGAAGAGGTGTAGAAACAGAACCACATGAGGGCCCGGGTCCACAGGCCTTAGGAGAGCTAGGCCCAGGATGATGAGAAAGGGGAGCACTTGTCAGTCAGCAGGTACCATCCTAGAATACCTGGTGCAGAAAAGAAAGGTCATGAAGCACCAGACAGGCCCTGGCCAGGGGTGCGGGGGTCCAGCAGCCACAAGGGATCCAGGCCCAGCTGGCCACTGAGCGGCAGTGGGTCTTGAGTATGTCACTTTCCCTGACGGATATGGACTGCATTGGGTGGCCTGTCTCTGAGGGCCCTCCCTGCTCTGAATCTGTGATTTGGTGTCATGTGACTAAGGGGTTCAGCCCACATGGCTGTGGCCACAGCAAGGTCCTCAGAGCTGACAGGAACTGCACAGCCATGCAGCAGCCAGACAAGCAGGCCATAACCCAGTCCAGCCTGTTCTCACAGCTTCTGTCGTTCCTCCTGCAGGGAGAGCGGGGCATGCCAGGGATGCCGGGCAAGAGTGGAGCCAAGGTACCTGCCCCTCACGTAACCTGGGTCACACCCCCACAGCCAGCCCCTCTGCTGAGCTCTGAGGAACCCTGGAGTCCCAGCTTCTCCTTGGGACCCCTCCTGTTTGTGCCTTGCTGGAAGGATGGGGTGTACCTTCCTCTCCCCCGGCCCCAAGTTTGCTTGGCCTCCATCTCCCCAGCACCTTCCTGACTGAGCCGGGCCTCCTCCTGGGGTCTCTGAGTCATAAAATCTTTCTCAGGTAACAGCACCAGCTGCAGTCCTGAGACTGCATGGGGAGTAGGGAATCAAGAAAGTCACCTTCAAATTTGCTGAGGGATGCTTTGGGCAACAACTCACTTCCAGTAGGTGGAAGTGAGTTGTGCCAACATGGAAATGGGTTCACTCCCAGCCCCTGCAGCCCCTAGAGGCAGAGGTTAGAGACACGTGGTACCCTACACACTCTTGGGCTGACTGCACTTGGCAGGGCCAGCCCCCTCATCTAGTGTGGCTCGCCATTCTCACTCTTCCATTCGACTGCCCACCCCCCTCCCATCGCTCCCTCCTCTTCTGTTGCCCCCTCCACCACCCTCTAACCTAACTACCAACCCGTGGCAGTGCCACCCCAGTATGCCTCCCAGTACAACCCAGAAACCCCAGCACCGGGCTGCCCCCTGCCTTGCTCTGGGATGCTCTCCCAGGGCGCCACACTTAGCACTGGGCTCTCCTCACTCCCACAAGCCAGCGACAGTCCTCCTATCACACCACGAGGAGACTGGCCACCTTCTCCATGCTGCCCATAACTGCAAAAAGCCTTCATGCCTTTTTCTTTCTCTGCCAGGGGGCTCCTGGGACCGCCGTGGCTGGAATGAAGGTCAGTAGAGGTTGTGACCCCTCCCGTCAGGGCAGGGTGGGCAATGTCCCAGGTCAGAGTAGGGGCCGCAGGGGCCTAGTGGTCAGGCTGCTGGACCAAACGGAAGACACAGGAGTAGAACGCATTTATGTGCCAGATGCACATCCCAGACACAGATGTTTAATTAAGCCTCTCAAGCAAGGGGCAAAGAGTAACCCGCCTGGCTAGAGGCTTCTCTGGCCTGCCAGCAGGCACCCAGAAGTCAGCACTTCCCATGTGCTCCAGAACTCAGCAACCACGTGCTTCCACAGTGCAAGAGGGCCAGCAGGGGGGTCGTCCCCTGCACCCCCACCCCAACACTCATTCACCTGGCCGGCAGGTGGGGCACCCTAGAAAAGCAAATGCTCAGCATTGATCTCTGCACTAGGTCCACTTGTGGGGGCTCCACGTCCAAGCCAGAAGCTCCTTCCCTGTCCTCCCTCCTGGGTTCCCCCACATGGGTTCCACCTGCCACAAGCATCACCTAAAGGAGGACAGCAGCCCAGGAGGCCTCCACCTGGCAGAGGAAAGCCAGGCTGGCTGGAGGTTTCACCAAAACCCCTGCCCACACACAGGGCTCCTGTGCTCGCTTGTTCCTGCTTTTTCTCTTACATATTTCTTTTCTGGGCTCGTTTGTCCACATAGGGTGAGCCAGGGATTCCAGGAGCCAAAGTATGGATGCAAAGGGGATGCTCTGGGCTACACAGCACACGTCCACGGGGGAGGGCGTGCAGGCTGAGGGGCACCTGTGCTTTGTTCTTGGTCGCCTAAGACTCCCTGGGCTGGGTCACACTACTCAGTTGTCAGGAGCATGTTGCCAGTGTCCTCCTCTTTCCCAAATCCTGGCCTGCAGCCCCTCAACTGTGGTGGGCAGTTACTGCTGCCCCCTTGTCCCCTGTACCTACAGAGCTCTCTTTCATCCTTGTCCAAACAATAAGAGATGTAATATGAAGACGTATTTCCATGGCCAATTAAGTTTGGGAAACATGGAATTACATGGAGTAACAAGATTACTCAGGTCTTTTGGTTGCAGGCCTTCTCAGAGCCTTTAAGATGTGAACCACTCATTGGGAAGCCCTTAAAAAGACAGCATCTTAGTCCATCTTAGCAAAACCTTTCTGCCCAGCGTACCCTTTGTTTAAGAGGAGGAGCTGAAGAGCGCAGTGTTCTGAGATCTCTGGTCCCTGATCTCTGCCCACCCACCTCACCACTACCCTATGGTCTTATCAGTGACTTTCTCCTCTTACAGTAGGAAAGGGGGTAGGGTAGTGGGGGTAGGGCAGCTGGGGATAGGGTAGGGGGGGACAGGGAAGTGGGGGTATGGAAGTGGGAGTAGGGAAGGAGGGTAGGGCAGTGGGGGAGTAAGTCGGGGGGGGGAGGGAAGTCAGGGGGAGGTTTGCAGGGAGAGAGGGGGCAGAGGGTAGGGCAGTGTGCACACAAGGGTCCCCTTCCCCCTTCCACACCTCTGCCATGAGTGTGTGCATGCCAGGAGCAGAATGGCGAGTTGAGCCAGCACAGCTGAAGAATGTGTGCTCAGAGCATGCTGCCGCCCCTTCAGGGAAACTGCCTCCTGCATGCCTGCCAGTGCCAGTCCCTGCAACCAGGACCTGCAGCCGTTCCCTATATAGTGGCCTGTTTTGGGGGGACGCTCAGGCTGAGGTTCGGCTCAGAAGTGGCCCAGGCAGGAAGGGGCAGAGAGGGTCTCCTTGGTGTCCACTCACCTCCCATCCCAGGGGCCTGGCCGCTCACCTCAAACCCTTTTGGCTGCCTGCAGGCCCTTTTCCCACACAGCTTGGGGCATGTGGCAGGGGGCTGACGCAGGGAGACTTCCCATGCCATCTTTTAGGGCTCCAGCTGCCAAGTTCAATGAGGCTCCACTTCAAGTTATTGCCTCTGGGAACCTCTGTTCCTCAGCGCCCTAGGAACAGGCTCTTCCTATGCGGACCCTCACTGAGTACCCCCTGGGGGACACTCGGACTCTCCTGATAGTGGTCGTGGACATGGCCTGGGTTATATCCCACCAAATGCATATGCTGAGGCCCTAAACTTCAAGGCAACTGCATGACGGTAGGGTTTCAGGAGGTAATGAAGGTGGCTGAAGCCCTGAGGCTGAGCCCCTAAGCCAATTACTGGGGCCCTGGAAGAAGAGGAAGCGAGATCTTTCCTGTTGAGGACACAGTGACCACACAGCCATCTGCAGTCCAGCGGAGGGCATCACTAGAACACGGCCCTGCTGGCACCTGACCCCAGACTCCAGCTCAGAGCTACAGGAGGAGAATGGTGCCACGCAGGCCCAGGCTGGGGCGGTGGTCGTGATGCCTGAACAACTCATGCAGGCTCTCCGATGGCAAAGGGAAGCTCAGCAGACCTGGGGCCCCTGACAGTGGGGGGAGGGAGGGCTGCCCCAGGAGCACACCCTCCCAGGGCCTGGCAGGCTTCATCTGTGATATGAAAATGGGATTCGGATTGTCACAAAAACACTCTGTGAGTCACGCCTAGGAAAAAGCAGCGCATTCTTCAGTAGTGGACAAAGCTGAGGAAGGAACTGAGTTGCCACGCCAAAGATTGCAGTAGAATGTTTGCCCATGGTTCTAAAGGCCAGAGGTTCAAACCCACCTGTGGCCCAAGCAGGCTGCTCCCGAGTGCAGCCTGGAGCGTCTGCTCCTACTGTTCCTATTCACCAGTGGTTTGGGCGATGTCTGGTATCCTTGGCTTGCAGAAGTGCCCCACGTCCCCTCTGTCCTCATATGACACTCACCCTGTGTGTCCAACTCCACCTGTTACAAGGAACCATCACATTGCAGAGGCCACCCTGTCCAGTCTAGGAGGACCTTACTTTAACTAGTGACACCTGCAGTGACCCACTCTCCTGAGGAGCCAGGGGGCGGGACGTCAGCATTTAAATTCGAGGGAAATGATTCAGGCCATAACAGGAAATAAACTCCCCAAAGTATCCCTCAAAGGCAAGGTTCTAGGAAATGATCTTCCCCATAGGCAGGAGGAGGTGAGCAGAAAAGCTGGGGGGCCTCTGAGCTGGACCGTGAGGGCATGGGAAAGTTTCCAAGGAAGGAAGAGCTCCCCCAAGTATTGGCTATCTGACAGCCTCCTCCCTGGGGGACCCCAGAAAAGTCTGACCATTGCTGGCCTTGCTGGTGATCTGTGGCCTGCATTACTCCACTGTCCTGTGTGATGTGGGAAATGTCCTGTGGGGAGCAGTGGTCCAGGCTGTCACCAGGTGCACTGACCCCAGAGTCTGGGGTGGGGTCTAGGAGGAAGTGGAGGAGCAGGTAGGCGGAGGGGGAAAGCAGAGACATCCTGGAGGAACAGCCCCTAACCTCTGCTGTTACATCTCCCCACAGGGTGAGAAAGGGGCTGCCGGCTCCCCTGGAGTCCCTGGCCTCCTGGGACAGAAGGTAGGTAGGAGAGAGCTCTCAGGTGGAATGCTGGCTCTCTCTAAGGCCCCCATGCCCTTCCCACAAACATTCCCTCAGGGCCCAGCCTTGGAGGTGTCCCTCTCCCTGAGGCGGGCAGAAAGGGTGACTGGACTACAGCCAGACTGGTTTAGGGGGAGGGACAGGGATGGGCCTGCTTGGCCAATACATGCCCTAATTCAAAAAGCCTGGTAGCTATAACCTGGATGAATTTCTTTACAAATCCTCTGAAAACCTGTACAGGGTCACAAGCCCTGAAAGGTACTTCATGTAAATGAAGCCACTGTAAAAAGATGAGGTCACATACACCTGGGGAGAGTTGCATAAGATAGGCCCCTTGGAAAGTCACTCGGCTCCCCAGCCTGGGGAGGTTCTGAGCATGCTGCAGTGAGGCAGCTGACCAAGCTCTGTGTCACTCTGCAGTTCTTCTGAACAACACTCGTCAACCACCACCCCCTTTCTTCAAATCTCAAACATCCCCAAGCCTCTGGGGAGTGTTCCATGGAACACACTTTGAGAAACGCCACTGGAGCCCCAGGGCTGATGGGCAGATCCCTCATTTTCATTCTCTGTCCCTCCCCAAAGTCACCAGTGTCATCCTCCCCTCAATCCCCCAGCCAGGACAGGCTAGGTGGGGCCTGAAGACATCTGTCAGGAGCCCCCTGGCCTTTAGTGTCCCTTGGGTACCCAGCCTGTCTGCTCCTCTGAACTGGGGAAGGCAGCAGGCAAGGTGTGGAGCACACCAGCAGCTGCCACAGCCTGGCCCTGACTATGCCTTTCACCTCAGGGAGAGAAGGGTGACGCCGGCAACTCCATCGGAGGAGGCAGGGGGGAGCCAGGCCCCCCAGGGCTCCCTGGGCCCCCGGGGCCAAAGGTGAGTCTGTCCTGGAGTCTGTGCTGAAGGGGCTGTCTTCAGCCCGTGGATCCTGTGTCCTGGACACCTCGACTTCTCTGTCCTTCTCCTGCTCCAGGTGTGGGTTTTCCCCAGTGGATTCAGGAAAGGTTACTCAGGGCACACGCCTGCTTCAGAGCAGGTGGCCAAGCTTCCAAAAGCCATACTAAGATAGAACTCAGTCAGGCCTGCTGGCCACAGGGCCTTGGCGTAAGCAGAAAGCCCCCACCTGCCACAGTCAGTGTGACTCACCTGGCACTGGCACACCTGGGGCTAGGGGCGGGGGCAGCCACGGGGCAGCACTGATGGTTCTTTCCTCTCGCTGCTGGGAAGCTGCAGAGGTGAAATTTGGTTTTCCCAAACCTCATGCCTGCAGTGCACGGGGAGTGAAGGAGGTCTCCCAGCTCACAGGAGGACAGGAATTACTCGGCGTGATTTGAGGCAGTAGTACACTTGCTCGCCCTGCCAACGAGCATCGGGAGCTCCATGTGAACAGCGGGGCTGCAGAGAACCTGCCCTCACCTTGTTGACAATCTACTAGGAGAAACAAACCCACAACGCACAGTGTAACGCGAAGGGAGTCACGGGCTCCTCCAGGCACAGGCAGGCAGTGAAGTGGCAGGCAGGACCTCTGGTCATGTCCACCTGCCACCCTGCCTGTGGCTGGAGCAGATCTTCCAGCCTGAGCAGCATTTTCACCAAACGCAGCTCTGCCACCTGGCCCCAGCACTGTCACACTGAGTCAGTGTCTCAGTTGCTTTTCTCTCATTGGTGGGACAAAATACTCAACACCTGAAGTTAATGAAGGAAAGGCTTATTTAGTGGAGGTTTCAGTCCATACTTAGCTGGCTCCAAGGCAGAGAGGCACATGGCAGAGAGCAGCTGTTCATGGTGGCAGAAAACAGCAAAGAGCAAAGGGACAGGCAGCGGCTAAGGGGGCTATCAGGCCTCTCCCCTCCCTTGTATTGTATTCGGATTACCCACCGTAGGGCGGGGGTCGCACTCACACCCATAATTCCCACATTGGATCCTGAATTAATCACAAGCTCTAGAAGCCGCCCCAATGACTGCAGGAGGCTTCAGGAGACAGCTACACAAACTAACAGCCAGGGTATAGGGCCCCCCATGGCTTGGATCTCAACTGGGAGTTGGGAGCTTGCCAGTATTGTCTTGCATCCTGGGACACAGGGAAGGGGAAGCTAGAAGGCCACGTCCCCCAATTCTGGTCCACTTTCCAGATCCAGACAAATGTCTAGTAAGTAAAGTATTGGACCAAGCCTCCTCCTGGCCACCTCTCTCTACCTGCTGCCCTAGAGTTCCTGGAGTCCCCTCCTCTGAGGCTCAAGGCAGTCACATACCCACCTCTGTCACTCAGACAGGACCTGATGAATTGTGCCTTCCCAAGTGTTCGGGTTCAGTCGTGGACTGTGACTGGTCCCATGTGTACCAACCAAGAACTGCGAGGGCCTTGGCAGGGCATCTAGACACCTGTGAGTGGCCCAGAACACACAGGAGGAAGAGAGTAGGCAGGAAAGCCTCCAAAGGAGGTGCAGTCAGGCCAGGCCAGTCAAAAGATCCAAGGCAGCTGGGTGAGAGTTGGTGGAAGCCAGTGGGGAAGGAGAGGCCAAAGGCAAACCCAGAGCAGGAACAGCAGGACCCTCTTCAACCCCTCATTCCATCTGTCATCTTTCCAGGGAGAAGCAGGTATTGATGGCCACGCTGGCCCCCCAGGACGGCAAGGAGACAAGGTAAGAGCCCCCTCCACACATCCATGAGCTGCAGGTGAGGGTCTGCTGAGAGAAACCAGCTGTCTCTAGACCAGATGCTAGGGCTGGACGCCAGCACCCAAAGCAAATGGACCGTGACCTTTGTTTCCTTCTCCCAGTTGGCTTAAGGCTCAGCACCATCCATGGGAATAGCACTTGTATGGAAGGCAGCCCAGAGTGGGACACTTAGGTTGGCAAGTGACACCAAGCCCCAGCTTCCAGCAGTTCCCAGAGCCACAGGTCTAGTGAGGACTCACCCAGCTCTCCAGCTACTTCCTGTGAAAGGCTTGCGTCCCTCCAGCATGGGTGAGCGTAGGTAGTGGGCAGCTCCTGGGAGTCCAATGGCTCCTCAACATCCAACTGGCTGCCTGGAGAGCGAGTCATAGCACTTGAAGTAGACCAAAGGCTCGCCTTCCTGTAGCTTCACTTTCTATCTTGATTTTTTCCCTTAATATTAATTAACATTATCTTAGGAAAATGAGGCCCGTGGTTTCTTTTTCACAGTTGACATCTACTCCCCATCGCTCTGCCCTGCTCCTTCCAGATCAAACAACCCCCAGCCCCAGTCCACATGGGAGTCGATGTCCCTACCCCTGTCTCCTAACTTCTTCGAGCCCCACAATTCATCCAGCAGTTTGGTTCTTTCCAAGCGGAGTGACCCCCTAAAAGACCAGATGGGCTCTTGGAGTGCCACCATTTGGTACCCAGGCAATGGGCAAAAAGTACCTGAGCCTTGGCCACTGTGCAGAATGGAAAACAAAAGAAACAGGGCAGGGCTACTGTTCCTAAGGAAGTCGCTGATCAATGGGACCTGGGAGAGGCAGCCAGGGGGACAGGGGGAGCTGCAAATAACTAAGATGGACAGGAAGGACATCATCAAGTGCTGAGTGGGAGGATGAGAGGGGTGGGCAGAGCTTCAGGGACATTCCTGAAAGGGCAAAACCTGCCCTTTAGCATTCAGAGGTGCCTACATCCTGGTGGCCTATGGTAAGATGAACCTGCTGCCCCGTCCAGGGACGGCACACGTAGCCCACATCAGATTCCCCAGCACCCAGCTTTCTCAACACTTTCCATTCCTTTTGTCATGCAACAGGGGCAGCCTGGAGCAGCTGGAGAACAGGGACCAGCTGGCCCCAAGGTAAAGGCATCTCCCCTGCATCTGGAGTCACAGTGCAAAACAGCTGGACCCTGGGGTCTTGAGGGTGGGGAGGGAAGAACGTGCTGGCCCCAAGTGGGAGGTCTGCCTGGCACCATTGTTGAATGTGGGCTTCTCTAGGCCTGCCTGTAGAAACAGGGGCTGCCCTTCTGTTCCGCATCCCTGCACACCCTCTGTGAGTGGACTGCCTCATCAGTCCCCTGTGGCCACTCCAGATCGCCCTGAGTGCAGGCACGTGCTGCCATGTGGTTCCTCCGGGTCAGTCCCTGGTTGAGATCTCATCTGTCTTCTAGGGCTCCAAGGGAGAACCCGGGAAAGGAGAAATGGTGGATTACAATGGAAACATCAATGAAGCTCTCCAGGTGAGTGGCCTCCAGCCCAGAGGAGGAGATCTGAAGGTTCTAGAAGACCTTGGTCCTGACCATCCATAGGCCATTGGGCACAGCTTCCAGGAAGAGCTTCCCCCCTGCCTTCTCTCCCTAATGCTCTGCAGCATCCAAGCAAATGTTCCCTGTTATTTGGCATCGTGTGGACTGCATGTGCAGGCTCAGCTGGCCCTGGGTAATTCGGGGCCCTGAAGGCAGCATCCTGACACCCTGTAAGAAGTTGTCCATCCAGAGCTGTGTTCCTGCTCTGCAGGACACATGACTCTTCACACCTGGGGGAATCAGCCTTCTTGGAGTCTATCTCTCTTTAGTGTCAGATTTACCCAATTTCATGTTCATGTGAGCCCTACTTTTCAAAGCACAATGTCCTGACCTTAGCCCCTGTGATGCTCAGGTTTGATGACTGAGTGCTGGAGGGCATTTAGCAACATCTATGACTAGCTCTCAGGAATGTTCCACCCACGGTTAGTCACCAGAAGTCAGACATGACCAAGGGTCCCATAGGAGACAAAGTCACCCCAGATTGAGAGCTCTTCCTCCACAGGAATACATTTGTGTGGGGGGGTTCATTTATGAGGTGCCAACAATCACCCTGCTAACCTGCTTTTGCGAGTGGCACTGTGCTTTGCTCTGCGGTGTCTTTTGAAGGCAGGTATGGGAAGTCTTGGTTCTGGGAGAAGAGAAAAGAAAAGAATGAGGGGCCCAGCAGGGGATTAGGGGGAGAAGAGCTTGCCTCCTTTGCTAAAGGGAGAAGAGAGCCTGCTGTCCACCGTAGTGCTTGTCTGTCACCGCCAGGAGCAGCACTGGACCTACAACCCAATGGGACCTGCCCAGTGGCTACAAACCTCTGGGCAAGGCATGGGTGGCATAGGGCTGGGAGGCACGGGGCCCACAGAGAGGGCTTCCCTCCAGCCGCACTCATCACGGGACTGTGGCTGGGCACAAGGGACCTTGCAGAGGGCGGGACCTTGCAGAGGGCTCGACCTGCTCTTCCACTAATTGCATGGTGTTATTTTCAGGAAATCCGGACCCTGGCCTTGATGGTGAGTCTTCCTCCGCTCTGGCCTCCCTGGGTGGGCACGGGGAGGGCAGCACGTGAGTTTTCATCTCCAGAAAGCACACATCAGGCTTCTTAGCAGAGCTGGGCCAAGGTGAGCTGGCCTGGGACAGGACGGGGGCTGGGCCTGGAGCCCCCAGCCCTCCCGGGTGACAGTGTAACTGTGTCACTGGGGCTCTGCTCACAGCTGTGTGGAGGAAGCAGCAGCATCCAGGAGGATGTTCTGACGTTTGTCTTTTCTATAAAATCAGCAGCAGCCTTCCACATGTCCCCCTTTCCCAGAAATCAGTCTCACTGTGTGTACTTGGAAAATTAGCAAATTCCATGCTGGGAGTTGCAACCATGGCCATCAACAGCTGGCTCTCAGAAAGTATCCAGAGCTGAAGCAACCACTCGTAGTTTAACTTCTAAGGAGAGAGGGAAGGCGAGACCCTGAGGTCCTCAGACAACAGGAATTTCAAGTAACCTGGTATTTGTTTTCACAGCTGTGTGCATGCACACAAACTCAGAATCAGATGCCACTTATATCCTATCCCAAACCTTGATTGATACCAACTGGATAATTCTGAAATCAATGGGCTACAGTTGAGGGACATTAAAATATATCATTTGAAATAACTATCGGACATAAAAATTTTCCTGGAAACTTTCTTTCTTTTAAAACCAGCCTTGGGTACAGCTCGCAGTAAAATGTCCCCAACGTAAGTATAGACTTTGACGTGTTCCCGAATGCAGACGCCATGTATCTTCAGGCAGCTCTTTCATAAAGCCCAGGGAATCGACCCCACACTCTCCTGACCTCAGGCCACCACAGACCTGTTTTCTGTCTCTGTGGATTTCTTGTCACACTTTTGGAAGGACAGAGAGGGAAGGCTGTGGGTCGTGGCTCCAGCCCACCCTCTTCAACCCAAACACACTCGGTGCCTCTCTGTCCCTCTTCTGAGGTTCCCCTTGTCATTTCCTTTGCAAAGTCACATGTTCCTAGTACTGAGGAAATAATTGAAAACAGCTGTCAGCCAGCCTCCCTCTCAACCAGCCTCTGCACAGAGCCCTCCAGCGACAGCCACCCTCCTGCTTGGAAAATTCTTCCATGTGTCTCCTCTCCTTTCTTTCCTAGGGGCCTCCTGGTCTTCCCGGGCAAACCGGCCCACCCGGAGCTCCAGGGAGTCCAGGCCAGAAGGTAACACTGGCCTTGGCCAGGGGCAAATAAGTGTGGGGACACAGCATCCCTGAGCACAAGACGCCAGAGCCACCCCTCGGCCTTCCCACCCTGCCACACTCTGGCCTGCAGTTCCTGCCACAAAGCATGTGGACTCTGCCATCCATCATAGCCCCCTTACTCCACCCCACCAGGGCCACACCTCTTCCCTTGCGGTCCATCTGAGTCTTCTGATTCACTTTCTGGGGTTCTAGAGCCTGGCGATGAACCCCAAGACTCACTGGAGCACCAAGATGCCCCAGAGCAGGGTGGCATGAATCCCACACACTCCAACCATAGCATTCCCTTGGTCCTTATGCCAACTCATCCTGGTGGTTTTTTTCACAGAAATGTCACCCCTCTGTCCCCCCCATTTGCCCTCTGTTCAGGAGACCCTTTGCCCTTCAAGTCCCCTCCCCTGTTCCCTACCTTCCAGACTTCTCCTCTTTCAAGCTCAACTCAAGGCCTCCCTGAGCCATCAGACAGAACTCACCCTCCCTGACCCTGCTCTCCCGGGATACTAACAAGTATTGCAAGGCCTCACAGACCTAAGGAAGGGGCTCGGGCTGGTGGGAGGAAGAGGCAGAGCCCTGGGGTGCTCAGGGCTCACAGATACTGCTTGCTCAAGGTGGTGGCTGAAATGCGGACCACAGAGCCAGGATGCCAGACTCCAATCCTGGCGCCAGACTCTCGCACTGGGCCTGCACAGTGGGGCTCTGGGCCCTGGGCTGTGAAGCTGAGATGGTGCAAGTGCCTAGTGCTCAGGACTGTGGGCAGGAGTAAAATCTCATGCTGTGTGGGGAAGTGCAGAGGAGGTTTCATGTAGCCAGGAAGTGCTGAGTAGAGTAGGTGACAGTATCACTGCCTCTGCTCTGAGAGTCACCCTGAGTTGTTCTGGCTACAGGGGGAGATTGGACTACCGGGCCCTCCAGGACACGATGGGGAAAAGGTAAGAAGAGCCATCTCCAGACAGGCTTGCTCTGGAGACTGAAGGGCCCAGGAACAGACTGGGTGTGAGACTTGGGGGACCAGGATAAGGGGGTGGAGAGGCTGCAGGGCCAGCCTAAAATGGGCTCTCTTTTCCTCCTCCAGTCAAAGCACCAAGAGCCCAGGGGTGTTCAGCCCCAATAGAGCCTGTGCTTGGGACATCCCTGTCATTTCTGGTCTTTCCCTTTCTCTCCTCTTTTCTCCATGAATATGCCTAAGAAGTGCTATTGATATTTTCCAAAGGGACCTCGTGGAAAACCAGGAGACATAGGACCCCCTGGTCCCCAAGGGCCCCCAGGAAAGAATGGGCCTCCAGGAATGAAAGGCGAGGTTGGCTACCCAGGGAGCCCTGGACAGAAAGGGGAGCCCGGACAAGCAGGCTCACCGGTGAGTGGCAGGACTGCTGGGCCATGTCCGTGTGCCACCTTCATGCCCGATGTTGGCTCTGCATGATGCCAGCTGCTGCCTGGGGTGGAGCCTACGGCCAGGACTTAGGACAGTGGGGAGTGTTCACATGGTTGTGGAGTTTCTTGGCTCAGGAGACCAGAGTCCTATTATGTCCTCACCTGTTATACCCTTGGGAAAGTCACTAAGTCTTGCAGAGCCTCTTTCCTCATCCCTAAAATAGGTATAATAATGCCTTCCTTGTATACCTACCTCATGGGCCACTGGGAAAAGAGATGGCCAAGGGCATGGAAGGCATGCAGAAATGCTGGCCCCAGGAGAGGGTGCATGTATGTAAAAGGAGCCTTGGCGGGGTCCAGCGGGCTGCTACCTTGGCCTGGGAGCTTTTCATGGTTTCCATCTATGAAGCAGGCACCGTCGAGCACCCTAGCCATGAGGAAAGCAGGTGTACATGCATGCCGTAGAGTCACAGGTGCTTGGCACATGACCTTGAGCTTCTCTAACCGAGGTCTTTGTTGATCTATAGGGTCTAGACGGCCCAACTGGGGAGAAAGGAGAACCAGGTGACCAGGGGAAGCCCGGAGCAACAGGATTGCCTGGCCCCATCGGGCTCCCAGGATTTACAGTAAGGCGAGAGGGCCGGCAGCAGGGGTCAGCAGGCAGCTGCAGATAAAGGTGCAGGAGCAAGGGTGCTTCTCACAGGGCCAGGCAGGCATGGCATGACACAGCTGCATACCCTGAGCTTGCTGCCTAGCCTGGGGGCCTCCAGATAAGCAGCTGCTCCATTTGAATGCAAACTGGGTTCCAGCTTCCTCTGCATGCACACAATGACCTGACCTAATCCCAGAATGCTGTGCTCTTGGAAGTGGGAAAAGCCGTAGGGGCCATCGAGCCTCACCTCTGACCTGGTGCCAGGACAGGCAGGTGACTCCCCTTCCACGGTGGGCAGCTCTGAGATGGAGGGCACACTCCCAGGCATGAGGTAGGTGCTTCCGCATCAGCCGGCTCCATGACCCCGCTGAGGCTCTGGACTTTGGAGCCATATTCATCTTCTACTGCTGCACCAAGTCTCCACAAATTTAGCTGCTTCAAACAGCACCTTTATTGGAGGTCAGGGGTCCTGGTGTGCCCAGCTGGGACCCCTGCCTGGGTCGCACAAGGCTGCAGGCAAGGTGCCAGTCAGCTGAGTCTTCATCTGGAGCTGGGAGTTCTCTTGTCAGCTCCCTGGCTGTCACAGAATCCAGATCCTTGCCATAGTAGGAAAGTCCCTTGGCTCCTAGCGGTCACTTGCAGTTCCCAGCCACCTGGCGCTCCCCATGGAAGTGGTTCAGTGTATTTCCTGGGGGCCAAGGCCAGAAGGGTAGTCTATCCAGTACCCTGACATACTAGACAGCAAGATAGAGCCATGCATATGCGACATACTTGCAACATAATCTTAATGCACATTGTATGTTTTTGCTCCTATGATATGGATGTGACAACTTGTAACACACTCACAGAAGTGACAGCCATCAGCTTTGCCACATGCCCTATCCCGTGATTTAGAAATGAGTCACAGCTCCACCCCAGGCTCTGGCACCACAGGGACTGTACAGAGCACCTGCCCCTCTCAAGGCTAGACCTGAGGTCCTTGGAGTCAGGGTCACAGCACCTGTCTGTCTACAGCCTCCATGCTGAGGGTAGAAGCCAGGCGAGTTTGCCACAGTTGTGCAGGGTGGGACTGTGCCAGGTCCCCAGGACTCACACCCTGGTGTTTTATGTCTGCAGGGAGAAAAAGGAGAAGCCGGGGAAAAGGGTAACCCGGGAGCAGAGGTAGGTCACACCTGCTCTTTTGTGTCCTAGATGGTCATTTGGCAAGGGCCTCATCAGAAATGACAGTCTCTCTGGGATGCCCAACATCTCTGCCCTAAGATCAAACCCCAGCTGCCTGATCCTGGGAAAGGCTGGAAGCTGAAGGTCTGAGCTTCCTGCACACTACCTGGCTGGTGCTGAGCCTCAAGGCTGATGCTCGGGGTTTTGCTGTCCGGGGTCTGCAGGGTTACAGAGCATGTGTGCTGTCTCTGGCCTGCCACTAGAGTCTAGACATAGAAAAATGGACAGAGCAGTGGCCCCCAGTCCCTGGGGATGAGCACTTGCTGGGACAGGCAAGCATCCCAGAAGATGCTTCATTTGGATGGGATCTTGACAGCTTTGTAGGAATTTGCCACTAAGTGTCAAACGAAGGCTTTCCAAGGAGAAGCAGAGTCTTTGACAAGTGTGGCAGTGCAGGAAACAGGAAATGACGGCAGGATGAGAGGCGCCAGGGCGGAGGTGAGGCGGTCAGAAGATGGAGAGATGCAGGTGTATTTGTAGAGTAGGTGGGGGGGAGGCCTGGCCGTCCAGAACACCCTAGAGCGGAGGGAGGGGACCCCCAACCTCCATCCCGTCCCCCGGCCCCCATCACCCCATCTGATGTAGCAACACAGACCGGACCCTGCCCTACACAGGGAATGCCGAGCCCCTTCCGGATGGTCCCGTGAGCCCCAGAGCGTTAGACACAGATGGTCCTCCCGGAAGTGAAGGGCCAATGGAAAGACTGGAGACAGCTCAGATTCCCGACAAGAGGGAAAGGACTAAATAGCTCTTGCTCATGCTGCTGCGCGTGACAATAGTCACCCGCTTACCAGTCGTCCTCGTGCCAAGCGCTGCTCTGGTCCTTGGTACGGAGGTGCTCACTGTCGGTCCCCTCAGTGACCCAAGCATCTGTACAGAAGGAAGCTTATGGGAAGCATCGCACAACAGCCGAGAAAATGTGTCTCATGTTAAATTCAGAAGCAAAAATGCCAAATTATATCGATATATCATCATAAGTAGGTATATTTTTAACATACACAGATGCATATAATATATACACATATTCAACATATTTTATGCATTAAAAATGTTGAAAAAGATAAAACAGCAGTATTTCTCAGCTAGGTAAATCAGAGATTTATTCTTTTTTTTAAATTTTATTTATTTATGTGTGTGTGTGTGTGGCCAGCTCAGCCCACCAGGGGGCGGGGCTGGCTGGCATGTGGTGCTGGGGGATTGAACAGCGGTCCCTGTGCTTTGCTAAGCTTGTTCTAAGTAGGTGCTTTAGACCACTGAGCCATCTCACTAGCCCTAGAGATTTATTCTTTTGGGGTGTTTTGTTTTTCAGTTCTCTTTTTATGAGATATTTTAATGGATCTAACTTCTTTTTTTAGTTTTAAAACTATTAAATAGGGAGCCAGCCAAAGAGCTCAGCGGATTAAAGAGCCTGCAAACAGGCACAGGGGCCAGGGGTTTGATCCCCAGGCCTGCCGTGCCAGCCCTGCCCCCAGGGCATGCTGAGATGGCAGTTGAGATTGGAAGTGGTGGTGTACACTTATAATCCCAGCTCTTGGGAGTCTGTGAACAGGTGGATGACTATGAGTCCAATCTAGTAGTGAGACCCTAAACACCCTGTAGACCCTTCACTAAAATAAAAAAATAAAAAAAAAAAAAAAGGAAAAATTGCCAGGCAATTTGTGCATACCTATAATCCCAGCACTCAGCAGACTGAGGCGGGAGGATTGCTGCAAGTTTGAGGCCAGCCTGGGAATAGCCTGAAGGATATACAGCAAGACCCTATCGAAAGAAAGAAAGAAAAGAAGGAAAGGAAAGGAAAGGAAAGGAAAGGAAAGGAAAGGAAAGGAAAGGAAGGAAAGAAGGAAGGGCGGGCCAGCAATATAGCTCAGTGGATTAAGCACCTGCATAGGCAAGTGGAGGGACCATGGTTCTATCCCCGGTACCACATGCCACACCGGCCTTGCCCCTGGGTGCGCTGAGTCGGTGACTGAGTCCAGGAGTGGTGGCACATGCCTGTAATCCCAGTGCTGGGAAGGCTAAAAACAGGAGGATCACTATGAGTCCAAGCTATGTAGTGAGACCCAATACCAAATACATTAAAAAAA